ATGTGAGTATATGAAAACACTCCTTTCTCCCAGGTAGTCCCATGATCTGTTCTTACTTCATTCAGTTCTCTGCTCATATTACCTACTATTCCCCCTAATCCTCCTGTGGTTTTTGGGAAGTGATTAGATCAGGAAGGCTCTGTCCTCATCATTGGATTAATTCATTGATGGGTTCATAATTTGACAGGCTATTGGGAAGTGGTGGAAATTTTGAAGGTAGGACCTAGTTAAAGGGAATGGCTCCTAGGGGGTGTGCCTTCTGGTGTTATATCTTGTCCCTGGCCCCTTCCTGCCATTGTCTCTCTCTTTCTTGCCTTCCCAGCTGCCAAGAAGTGAGCAATCTCCCACAACTTCCTGCTGCAATGATGTTCTGCCTCACCTCAAGCCCAAAGCAATGAGTCAGCCTTCCCTGGACTGAAACCTCTAAAATTGCAAAATAAAATTTTCCTTCTTTAAGTTGATTGTCTCAGGGAGGGAAAGCTGACTAGCACAACAAAGCTTTCTTTCTTTCTGTTATATTCATATGTGCATACAATGTTTGGGTCATTTCTCCCCCCTCCCCCTCTTAACCCCCACCACGCTCCCTCCCTTACCCCTCCAACCCCTCACTATCAGGCAGAAACTATTTTGCCATTACCTCTAGTTTTGTTGAAGAGAGAGTATAAGCAATAATAGGAAGGACGAAGGGTTTTTGCTGGTTGAGATAAGGATAGCTATACAGGGAGTTGACTTGCATTGCTTTCCTGTACATGTATGTTACCTTCTAGGTTAATTCTTTTTGATCTAACCTTTTCTCTAGTTCCTGGTCCCCTTCTCCTATTGGCCTCAGTTGCTTTAAAGTATCTGCTTTAGTTTCTCTGCATTGAGGGCAACAAATGCTATCTAGTTTTTGGGTGTTTTACTTATCCTCATACCTTCCTTGTGTGCTCTCACTTTATCATGTGCTCAAAGTCCAATCCCCTTGTTGTGTTTGCACTTGATCTAATGTCCGCATATAAGGGAGAACATATGATTTTTTTTCTTTTGGGCCAGGCTAACCTCACTCAGAATGATGTTCTCCAGTTCCATCCATTTACCAGCGAATGATAACATTTCGTTCTTCTTCATGGCTGCATAGATTCCATTGTGTATAAATACCACATTTTCTTAATACATTCATCAGTAGTGGGGCATCTTGGCTGTTTCTATGACTTGGCTATTGTGAATAGTGCCGCAATAAACATGGGTGTGCAGGTGCCTCTGGAGTAACCTGTGTCACATTCTTTTGGGTATATTACCAAGTGGTATTGCTGGATCATATGGTAGATCTATGTTTAGATTTTTTTTTTTGGGTTTTTTTTTCTTTTTTGTTTTGTTATTCATAGGTGCATACAAGGCTTGGGTCATTTCTCCCCCCTGGCCCTACCCCCTCCCTTACCCCCCACTCTGCCTCCTCCCTCTCCCTCCCACCCCCTCAACATCCAGCAGAAACTATTTTGCCCTTATCTCTAATTTTGTTGAAGAGAGAGTATAAGCAATAATAGGAAGGAACAAGGGGTTTTGCTGGTTGAGATAAGGATAGCTATACAGGGAGTTGACTCACTTTAATTTTCTGTGCGTGTGTGTTAACTTCTAGGTTAATTCTTTTTGATCTCACCTTTTCTCTAGTTCCTGGTCCCCTTTTCCTATTGGCCTCAGTTGCTTTTAAGGTATCTGCTTTAGCTTCTCTGCGTTAAGGGCAACAAATGCTAGCTAATTTTTTTAGGTGTCTTACCTATCCTCACCCCTCCCTTGTGTGCTCTCGCTTTTATCATGTGCTCAAAGTCCAATTCCCCTTGTTGTGTTTGCCCTTGATCTAATGTCCACATATGAGGGAGAACATACGATTTTTGGTCTTTTGGGCCAGGCTAACCTCACTCAGAATGATGTTCTCCAATTCCATCCATTTACCAGCGAATGATAACATTTTGTTCTTCTTCATGGCTGCATAAAATTCCATTCTGTATAAATACCACATTTTCTTAATCCATTCGTCAGTGCTGGGGCATCTTGGCCATTTCCATAACTTGGCTATTGTGAATAGTGCTGCAATAAACATGGGTGTGCAGGTGCCTCTGGAGTAACCTGTGTCACAGTCTTTTGGGTATATCCCCAAGAGTGGTATTGCTGGATCAAATGGTAGATCAATGTTTAGCTTTTTAAGTAGCCTCCAAATTTTTTTCCAGAGTGGTTGTACTAGTCTACATTCCCACCAACAGTGTAAGAGGGTTCCCTTTTCCCCGCATCCTCGCCAACACCTGTTGTTGGTGGTGTTGCTAATCATGGCTATTCTAACAGGGGTGAGGAGGAATCTTAGTGTGGTTTTAATTTGCATTTTCTTTTTTGCTAGAGATGGTGAGTATTTTTTCATGTGTTTTTTGGCCATTTGAATTTTTTCTTTTGAGAAAGTTTTGTTTAGTTCACTTGCCCATTTCTTTATTGGTTCATTAATTTTGGGAGAATTTAGTTTTTCAAGTTCCCTATGTATTCTGGTTACCAGTCCTTTGTCTGATGTGGCAAATATTTTCTCCCACTCTGTGGGTGGTCTCTTCAGTTTAGAGATCATTTCTTTTATTGAGCAGAAGCAAAGCTTTCTTTTTTAAAAGGATAACTGTATGAGGGGATGGATATATTATTTAGCATGATTATGGTAACCATTTCACAATGTATGCATATATGAAATCACCACACTGGTTGTATACTTTAAATATATATATTTTTTGTTTTTAGTCATATCTCAATAAAGCTGGAAACAAAGAGTTTTCTATGATTTAGATATCCACCCAAGAACCTTATGCATGCAATACCTCAATTTTATTTGGAAAAGTTATTAAGTGCCAGATACTCTACTGGATAGAGGACGCAAAAATGAGGAAAACAGACAAAATTCCTGATGTCACGATAACCTGACGTGGGGAGTTTGCCTGGAACATTTTATTCCCTTTGCTGAACACTGAGTAATGATATTCATATTCTCCTTCCTGTGGATGTAAAATATGCAAGCAAATAATTAAAGTTCCATTCCTGTGATCAGCACATGAAATGGTTGAGCCAACTCTGTGCTCTTTGATTTTATTATGTGAAGTTGTTTGTTGGAATAAAAATCTCCAACTTGTGCTTCACAGTAAGATATGGTCAGAGTGGCCTGATGGTATTGGGTAAATAGGAATTTTGGAACAAAAGATGAAATAAAGTTCTGTAGGTGCATTCTGTCAGTTTTGTAAAACTCTATAAAACTGCTCCTTCATCTTTAGAAGGGTGGGGAAGCAGGCATGGCTTGGAAATGTTCAGAAAATTCTGTCCTCCTGTGAAGTCATTTCTTTCTCTACCTTACCTATAGGACCTGTCCTGGTAAGAGTTAAGCCCAAATAATTTCAAGCATAATTAAACAGAAAAATCCTCATCATTACCAGTGATAATCTTTGTCTCTTCTCCCTTTTTGAGCATCTTTTTTTTTTTTGACTGAGCAAAATAGCCAAAATTTTGTTAATCTCAAACTTTGATTGGGATTCCTTGTTGTTTATGGAGTAGATTCTTGTTCTAATCAGCAAAACAGGAGTTAAAACAGAAGGCTCTGTTTTTGTCTCACAAAGACAGACTTTGTCTGAGTTCCGTCTTCAAAACACTGCCCTCTGTCTCAGGCTGACATTTACAGTTTGGAGTCTTCAGGTGGCAAGGAAGCATATGTGAGGCAGGATGCAGATACTAGTTGCTTTTTGAGAATTTGATTTTTATCCAAGGGCAACAGAAAACTAAAAAAACCTTTAAATTCAGGAAAAAGCAGGATGAGTTATGCATTTTTTGAGTCATCTTTTTTGCCTGCTGTGTGGAGAAGAATTGGAGGTAATAAGAGGCAAGACGACCAGTAAGAAGGCAGTTATAGTGACTTGCAGTGATCCTAAGAAGAAAGGATGTTGACCAGGATTAGAAATATATGGAAGATATATATGTACTTCTCGTATGGGAAGATGAGAAGTACACAGGTTACTGAGATATCTGGAAGTGTCAGGCATAGTTTTAGGAACATTTTACCCAGGGAGAGATGGGGAAAAATCAAGAATAGCACTGAGAATAACCACAGAGTGGATGTTGAGACCATTCCCTGAAATAGCTAATACTGGGGAGGAATTTTGGGACATTATTTCAATTGGAATAACTAATAATCACATTATTCCAACTGTTAAAATCCTCCCAGTAGCTCACCATTTGTGAGAATGCAGTTTTTTTTTTTTTTTTTTTTTTTTGGTGCTTGGTTAGAAACCATGGCCTTGTACATGCAAAGTGAATGCTCTACTACTGACCCACTCCCCCCTCTCCCACCACCAATTTCTTAACAAGACTTAACAATTTACTCTTTTTAACTGCCTGTCTCCCAGCTCCCGAGCCCAAACACAACTTTACTTCCTCAGAAGTGTTACTCCTCTGCGGGGTAATTGCTGTCTGCAAACTCGGGGACTTTGTGTAAGGTGTTGGTCAGGAATTAGTTGTGTATTTTTTTTTTTTTTTTCTGTTCATTGAGTGAAGAGTTGGTGAAGGCCAGGTAGTAAGAAGAACCTGCGCTAAGAAGATCTTGACTCTTCCTCCATGCAATTTATTGTATAATGGAAGAGTTAACTACTAATCCAATAATTACATAAATAAAGAAAAATTGCAAATGAGAGCAGAGCGTCTAATGAAAGGTATTAAGGAGAACCTCTATTGGGGTCTTAATGTGGAGAAGGCTTGCCTGAGAAAGTGAAGGTAAGAGCTGATTCACAGAGGAAGAACAAAGCTTTCTGGCTGGGAGAAGACCCCGCTGGAGATTGTAACTTAGCACATTCTGGAGAACTGGGGAAAGAAAACACTTTCCTCAAAATGTTCAAAAAGAGGTGGAAATGAGCGAGAGACTTGTCTTTTTGTCCTACAGCGGCCGCCATCCCTCTACAGAGTCCACGAACCGTCGCACTGACTTATGGGAGTTGTAGTCCTAGGCTGAGCCTACGAACATGGCGGCCTACATGGTGGGGGGCTGTACGGCCGCCGCGGGCCTGGCCCGGGGTTTCCGAGCCTCCGGGGCGCTGCTCCCTGCGCCGGCCTCTGTCGCCTGCCGTAAGTGGAGCTAGGCATGTGCGCGAGGGCGCGGGAAGGGCTCGGGCCAGGCTGGGGGAGGTGCGCCGGGTGGCCCGGGAGACCGCGGGTTGAGAGTTCTGACCTCCGTCCATTCACGCAGGGCTCAGCACGGGGCCTTCCGAGCCCGGCGCGTTCCAGCCGCCGCGGAAGCCCGTCATCGTAGACGAGCGCCGGTCGCAAGCCGAGGAGAGGAGGTGAGGCGAGCCGCGTTGGCGGGGCGCGCGCGTGCGGGGGCGCGGGAATATGGGCGCGCGAGCCTGCGGACTCCCGGCGCAGCATCCTCTCTTCGGTTCTTCGCGTTGTCTTCAGAGTTGGAGTTGGGATTGCCTGGGACCGACCGGAAGCGCTGTCCTCTGGTTATGTGTCCCACATCTTATTTATACCTGTTTCCGTTCAGAATTCCAGCTTTTCTCCATCAAGCCTCCACCCTGCGTGGAAATCAAGTGGTCCAAACTCAACGTGTTTTAGCCTGAAATTCCTGGCACAGTGGTACAGTAGTCAACTGCACTAATTTTGTCTGGAATTTGCCCACCGAAACAGTGTGACTAAAAACCGGTTTTCTTAAATGAACCGGGTAACAATGGAGGTACAAGTAAATTTAAATGATTTAACTAAGAGTTGTAGAAAGTGCCCCTGCAGAGCTGGGTGAAAACCGTTGTAAGATTTTTTTTTTGTTCTTTTCTGTTGGTACTGGAGTTTGAACTCAGGGCCTTGCGCTTGCTAAGGCAGGCAGTCTTCCACTTGAGCCACTCCACCAGCCCCATGAAAACCTTTTTCAAAAGCCAGTATTAGGAGGGAAAACTCAGTGTGGTTATCGGCCTTCTGAAAGGGCTCTAGGTTACTGACTGGATTATGTCTGGAATTTAGATAATTATTTTATATATTCTATAGTCCGAAATTGAAATGTTGGTGTAGTCTGTAATCCCAATTCTAGGGAGGGAGGCTGAGACCCCTGAGGATCAGTTTCTAGGCCAATCTGGGCTACATAGCTGAGACCCTTAGAATAAAAAGAGAGGGGTGGTGGAGAGGAAAGAAAAGAAATTAAGGTTGGATTTAGGGAATCTAGGGATTCAGAAAAATATTTCCTTATAGTCTTTTCACCTGAAAGTGGAAAAGGAATCTCTTCAAGGCCAGCATTTAATACAGTTCAGTTAAATGGGAATGTAAATTGTACATGCTGAAAAACCATTTGGCAAAATTTAGTAAATTTGAAGTTGTGTACACCTTTCCACCTAGAAGACACGCAGCTTAAAGAAACCCTAAAACTTTTGTACAAGTGTATAAGGAGACGTGTACAAGAATGAGCAGAACAGTATTGTAACAGACAAAAATTCACAGATGGCCTGAATGTCCATCAGTAGGTTAATAGACAAGTATAATCACACATTGGAGTATAATATAGTATTGAAAAATGAATGGATTACAGCAAACTTTTAACACATCATGAATTTCACAAACATGATGTGCAGAAAAAAGCAACCTTTATGAAATTTAAAACCATATTAAACATTATTACATTTTACCCAGACATACATGCATTTATAAAGTATAAAGGAGACACACTCTCTTCCTTAACCAAGTAATCAAATCTAACTTTACCAACAGTGGACAGCTGACGTTATTACATGTGCTTCCTGGTGTCATAGAATAAGATGTTCCCATGATCTTGTAATATTCTTACAAAAAATGTTTAACCCCAGTCTGAGTATGTGTAAACAATAAATGCAGAATTCAGCAATGGTCCATAAGACAGCAGACCTCTACTTTTCAGATGGGCCAGTGTTACAAAAATATAAAGCTGGGGAAAAGTACTAGTTTACAAGAAGCAGCCAAATACAGCATGAGAATCTTGGTTATGTCGTGCATTAGACAACAAACATAAAAGACATGAAGGATAATTAGATTTGTTCGAATATGAACTATATATTAGATTACACTATTGAATTAATACTAGTTTTCTTAGAGACATATAAAGGTGTTGTGACAATGTAGGAGAAAGTCCTTGTTATAAGCCTTCTCAATTATTGAGGGGTGACATCCTTGGTATTTGATAGTTTTGAATAGGAAAAATTTATACATATATAAAGCAAATACAGTAAACATTAGCTATTGGTAAAGGTAGAAGAAAAATACATGGGTGTTCTCTGTGTTATCAAGTGAACCCCAGTAGGTTTGAAAGTTTTTAAAGTAGGAAATTGAGGCAAAGGAAGAAATGGGAATAATTACCAAATGCAGGTTAGTAATTAGCCAGTAGGAGGGACACACAGCATGGATATTCATTATAATGTCATTTGTACTTCCTATATGTGAAATAGTTCATAATGAGCCTAAAATTAACAAAGAAAAAAAGGAAGATTTTTCTTTTCTTTCTTTTTTTTGAGACCGGGTCTTGAAATCAAACTCTCTGCATACCCAGGCTGGCGTTGAACTTATGATCCTTCTGATTCAACCTTAGAGTTCTGGGATTACAGCCGTGCATCATCATGCCCAGCTCAGAAGATTATTTTTAGCATCCATTCATAATTGGTGATTTATATATTTTCCAGCATAATTTATTGTAACTTATAGCTCAGTGTGAGACCTGTGGTCATAGGTTTTGGAGACTGACAGATATGCTTACATTGAAATCTTGACAAACTCAAATTTCAGTTTCTTCATCCATAAAATGAAGATGATGACAACAACCATCTAGTTGTTTTGAGGATTAATTTCTGCTACTATGTTAGTCAGCTTCTGTCACTTTGACAAGTTCCTGAGATAATCAGCTTAAAGGAGGAAGATTTATTTCTGCTTGTGGGTTCAGAAGTTTTAGGCCTTGGTCACTTGGCCCTGTCCCTGTTGCTTTGGGCCTGTGGTGGCACAGAACACGATGGCTAGAGTGTGTGGTGGAGGAAACTGCTTACCTCATGGTGGCTGGGAAGCAAAGAGAAGGGTTGGGATCCTAATCTCTGGATCAAGAGCAGGTTCCCAGCATCCTAACTTCCTTTCACTAGGTCCCACTTCCTAAAGCTTCCACTGCCTCCCAAAAGCTCCACAGGCTTTCACCCAAGCCCTTAGCATACAGGCCTTTTGTGGGACATTTAAGGGCCAAACTATAACAGCTTCTTAGATGTCTTAGGAAGCTTTTAACAAAATGCTGGGTAAGTGCGCAGGATATGTTAGCTCTTTTCATGGGCATTAACAACTTTTTAGAAATAGTTTTAGGAATAACAATGACTTCTTACTAAGAAAATAAAGAATAAAACGTGTCAACACTGTATTCATTTCTTTGTAAAACAACATCTTTTTCTTATAGTGGCCTAAGTTTCTTAAATTTTTTTTCTTTTTTTCACAGGTTTTTGAGTCCTGAATTCATTCCTCCAAGGGGAAGAACAAATCCTCTGAAATTTCAAATAGAAAGAAAAGATATGTTAGAAAGGAGAAAAGTACTCCACATTCCCGAGTTCTATGTTGGTCAGTAATATGCTAGATGCTTTTCTTAGTAGTAGCTGGAGGGTTGGTTTTCTTTGCATAAAGATCATTCTTCACATATCTGGGTTTTGCCCTAATGAGGAACTTATTCCTAAATACATTAAAATATTTGGCAAGGTAAGTTACCTAGAAATGTTACTAATTTTCTTCATTTTGTAAAAAGTTTACTTCTCTTTGAATTTGCAGGAAGCATACTACGTATTACCACAGCCGACCCATATGCCAATGGGAAAATTAGCCAGTTTCTGGGGATTTGTATCCAGAGATCAGGAAAAGGACTTGGAGCTACTTTTATCCTTAGGAATACTATTGAAGGACAAGGTAAATTTCATTTTATTGTCATAATTGTCTAGCAGGATTCCTTTCTATTTCCTTCTTCCTGGGTAAGAAATCTGAAACTTGAAAGTGAAAGGGGGCTCTAAGGGAAGACGAGCCTGTGGCCTCAGAATGAATTGAGGATTGTGGTTGCTGCTTAAATGTAGTTGGTGATTTGCTTTCTCTTGAAGGCTTCTTTTATTTTAGTGGCCTTAGACATTAGAATTAAACTTCCCAAACTATGGCAGCATAAAGGGAGGAAATAGTGTAGGAATATTTGTTCCTTTAGGGGCAGTAATCACAAGAACATTAAGACAAACATAATGGTGTGCTTGTGAGTTGTTTGATCCTAAAGTGAATGCCCCCATTTTGTATTAAATTATGACACAAAGTAGTTATCACTATTATTACTGATTCATGAGACTCAGAGGCATTTTTTAAAAGGCAAATTATGTTTGCATGCTATGCCTAATACAGCAGAGGAAGAAGAGGTAAAGTTCCAGAAAGATTCTGAGTTAAAATATCAAGTAAAGGTAAAGTTTCATATTTAAAATTGTCTGTTTCATGATTCCCAGCAATGAAGCCTAGCAGTAGAAAGAAATGAGCAGAGGTGTGAGTTGATGGACCTGGGTTCAATTTTCTTCTTCTTCTTTATTTTTTTTTGGTGGTATGGGGGTTTGTACTCAGGGCCTCACCCTGGCTAGGCAAGTGCTTTACTGCTTGAGACACTTCACCCGCCTCAATTTTCTTTTTGAAAGTTGAGGTGTTAGTAATTTCTACCTTATAGATCTTACAGTTCAGTCAGTCAACTGTACGATATTGTACAAAAAATACTGGACACAGTACTCAGTATTAATTCCCTCTTGCCATTCTCTATAATGTGTTTGACTTTTGTCACCAGCCACCACCTTCCCCATCCAAACAACACCTTCCCCATCCAAACTCCCTGCTTTAGTGGTTCCCTCTAGTCTAGTGGCTTTGTATCCATTGATGATAACTCCCAACCTGATTTCCCCGGGCCTTACCCTTTTCAGGTTCCAGATGTGCCCATGCAACTACCTCCTTAGCATCTCTAGTCAGGTATCTTGCATGCATAGAACATTTGAGTGTGGCACTCTTTATTTCCCCTCACAAGGAGTTCCTTGCACAGTCTGTTCTATTTCCATAAAAGGTACCACAGCTCACTTACTTAAGCCAGAGACCTAGGAGCTGTTTTTATTATCTTTCACACATTCAGTCAATAAGTTTTCTTGGCTCAGTCTCCAAAAGATATGTCCTAATTTGTCTGTTTCTCTTCTCATGATACAGCTCTCACCCATGTCACCATCATTTTCTACCTGCCATTGTGCTGTCTCTCCATTGTACGTTCCTGGTATCTTAATCTGTGTGTGCTACCATAACAAAATGCCCAAACTGTAATTTATAAAGACAGACATTTATTTCTCACAGATCAGGAGGCTGGGAAGTCCAAGATGAGGGCACTTGCAGGTTCTGTGTCTGGTGAGGGCCTGTTCCGTACTTCTAAAGTGGTGGCACCTTTTGTTGTGTTCTCTGGAAGGAATAAATACTGAGTTAATGCCAAATGAGCCTTCCTCTGTTTTTTTCCAACATGGCAAGTTTTTAACACCCCAGGGCCTTTGTATTTGTTGTTCTTTCTTTTTTCCCCCCCTTTTCCTTCTTTTTTTTTTTCTCTTTTTCTTTTGATTTGGAGTCTTACAGGCTTAAGTATTCCCTCTGCCTCCCAAGTAGCTGAGACTATAAGTGAGCACCATCATGTCTGGTTTTGTTGCTCTGGCAGAAACCTAGAGCATTCTTGACCCTTCATAGAACCAGTTGGAATATCATCTTCTCGGAGAGACTTTCCTCTTTTCCTCTTCTCCCAGTCACAATGCCATTGCCCTGTGTTGTCTTCACTGTTTGTTGACTTGCTTTTATATTGTTTGTCATCTACTACATTCTTGTAGCTTTATGAGAGGAGAAGGATCTTTCTTGTTTGGTTTGCTGTAGGTACAGCTTCTAGATCACTGCCTGGTTCAGAATAGGTATATAGTAAATATTGGATTGATCCTGGTATTAGACACCAGAAGCTAATGTTGAGCACATACATTAGTACATATATATTTCTTTTGGGATTATTTCAGAAAAGCTTGAGAATACATTCTTGCCATTAAGTGATAATGCAGATGACATATATTACTACTTGCAGCATCTTGATATGGTCCAAAATGTTCCTGGCTCCAGGGGCTAAAAAATCTAGGCCACCCTTAAGTGGGGCTTCTAAACTGCAGTAGAACTTAAAATTTTACTTACTGTTTTTTTGCGTCAGTTTTGTAACTTTTAATATGGATGATTTTTAATTAATTGGGAAATAAACAAGAACATGACAAAGAAGCATTTACTCAGACTTCCCAAGTTAATGCATGTTACCAGAATTGAAGAAGTAAGTGACAACATATTTATAGAAGACATCTTTTCTTTCTAATTCAGGTTTTCTCTTTTTTTGTTCTTTTTATCTCATTTTTTAATTTACATGGATTTTAGTTTTTCTTTCAGTAATCTTCATAAAAAATAAATTTATATTTCCTGCATGTAAAACCTTGTTCCAATTACTTTATAAAATAGCTTTCACTGTAGTGTGAGGTGTTTGCAGGAATCCGTACTTGGATTGTAAGAATATATTTTCTTTTCAGGTGTTGAGATTTGTTTTGAACTGTATAATCCTCGAATCCATGAGATCCAAGTGGTCAAATTAGAGAAACGGCTGGATGATAGCTTGCTATACTTACGAGATGCCCTTCCTGAATACAGCACTTTTGATATGAATATGAAACCAGTAATACTGGAGTCTAGCAAAGAAGTTCCTGTTAACAAGGTATCAGTTGTACATTTACCACTAGACGTATCACTGTAGAATAATAAAGAATCATCTTAGGGCTGGGGTATAGTTCAGAGTAGAGTGATTGCATAGCGTGCATGAGGTGCTATAAAAAAAGTATCACCTCAATGAAAACTTTAGGAGAATTTTTGCTTATATCTTACTGAACTTATTTCTTTTTTAATGTCTTCCTCAGCTGAAAGTAAAAATGAAGCCTAAGCCTTGGTCCAAACGCTGGGAACGTCCATATTTTAATATTAAAGGAATCAGATTTGATCTTGCTTTGACTGAAGAGCAAATGAAAGAAGCTCAGAAGTGGAGTCAGCCATGGCTTGAGTTTGATATGATGAGGGAATATGATACTTCAAAAATTGAAGCTGCACTATGGAATGAAATCGAAGCATCAAAAGCATCCTGATTCTGATTATCCTTTTGGTTACCTGCAGAGGATGTATAAGCGCTCAGAAGATGTACTTTGAAACCAGTTTAATTTCATTTATAAGACCATAGTCATTAAGTGAACTAAGCATTCATTATTTCATTAGTACTTTTTATAAAAATAAAATTTGCATGCCAGTTTGTTACTGTAAAGAGAGAACTACACATACCAAATATCCCAGTGTTCATTTCCTTATTGGAGGGTAAGCCATCAGATCTGAACAAAGGGAATGGTGGGGTGATTTTCTTAAATTGTAAAATAAACCATAAGAACAGAATGATGTATGATTTGAAGAATAATAATGAACATTCATGCACCTACTTCCAGGTACAAAATAAAATATTTAACAACATTTAAGAATATCTGAGTCTAGGTCTGATAGTGTACACCTGTAATCCCAGCCTTTAGGAGTGTGAGGCAGGAGGATAATAAGTTTGAGGCCAGTGTGGGTGATTTAGGAAGATCTGGTATATGTGTCTCAAAAGACATTAACTAAAAACAGCCATTTGTCTACAGATTAAGGCACCTATCTGTGTTGATCATTGTCTTGCATTTCTTTTTATTGCTAATGTGTATAGTGTGCATATGTGTGTGTGTGTATATATATATATATATATATATATAATGTTTGTATGCATACACATGCATCTTTTTTCTGAAAATGTTTTCCTATATAATACAGGCTAGCCTTGAACTCCTGCCTCATTCTGCTGAGTGGTGGATTGTAGGCATGTGTTACCATGCCCAGCACGTACATAAATATTTTAAGCTATAGTTTTGAAAAATCTATTAGCAAGCATAAAAGAGCAGTTTTGTTACTGCATGAAGATTTAAAGGAGAACACGACACTGTAGGTTATAGTCTGTTTTCAGCTTCCCTGAGAGTTTTCAAAGTCACCTTGGAGGAAGTGGTTAAGGTTAGTGAGTTTTCATAGACATCTCATCCTGAGGTATCTGGCAGCATTGTAGTGTGGACTGTGTAGTATCTGGGAGAAAGGAGGTCAGAGCAAGTAAATAGTTTCAGTCTCAGAGCCTAAGGAGTTGAACTCCAGTCCTTAGGAGAAGGTCAGAATGGAACACTGATACAAGTGTCCTTGGAAATCCATGCAGCCTAGCATGGCTTGGGAAGCTGGGATGTTGTCACATGGGAAGACTATTTTATATGTAGCAGTATAGTACTAGCCTGAGTCCTAGAGATAACCTCAGTCTACCCTCCCGTGCCTAGCTAGCTTGGTCCTTTACTGAGCTGAATTCTGTATATCCTATTTTGCTGGTTCCTCATTTTTGTGGAGCACATTTTTTTGGTAGTTTCTAGAGAAAGTAAAAGTGGAGGTAAATTTTTTGTGTCTATCCTGTTTTATTGACACTTTATAGGATTTTAGGTGGGACTTAATTTTCCCTCAGAATTTTGAAGGTATTGCTTCACTGCCTTTTTGTTTCTAGTGTTGTGTTGAGAAATACATTTTGATTTCTGCTCCTTGTTCGTGACTTGAAAGTTTGTAGAATTTCTTAGTCTTCCCAGTTACGATATTTCTCAGTGGTATGTCTTGGTGTGGGGGTATTATCCATTGTTTTAGGCTTTTTGTGGGCATTTTTGTCAGTTCTGGGAAACAAGTGTTCACTGATGATTTCCTCTCCTCGGCTGATTTCTTCCTGAAGCTCTTGTTTGGATTTTAAATACCCACTACTACTACTTACTATTTAACTCTTGAGGTCAGTCTTTAACTCTGCTATTGTATTTTAAAATCTCAGAGTCCATTTTTTGATTTATGAAATTCCCTTTTATTTAGTGTCCTCTTGTCTTCCATTCTTATCTGTGCATTTGTTCTGTTATCACTGAGGATATGTTTTCTTTCAAAATTGTTTTCCTGCAGCATATGTTGTCTTCCACATTTTTTTTCTGTGAGAATTTGTTTTCCATTTTTTAGGCTTTTCTAGGACATTAGATGATCCTTGACTACTTAAGGTTGAAAGGGGGACCAAGCAGCAAGGAAAAGAGTTCTGGGAAGGAGTTGCCTTTAGGGTTATTGAACTTTTTGGGAGTTCCCTCCTCTATATGAATATCTTGGTTTTGATTGTTTTCCTCAGAGAATCTATGATGTTGAGCACTTCTGGGTAATGCTCTAATTTGGTGAAGTCCAATTTATTTTTATTTTCTTTCATGTGGTGCTTCACTACTTCCTGTGATTTACTCAAGATTCTTTTTACCCATCCTCGAATTTTTTTTAATCACAAGTCTATTTCTGAGTTTTATATTTAAATCTGACACATCTGTGGGTCTTTTTTTGTTTTTGTTTTTTGGTGTGTGTATAGGAAATGAGATGGGGTCAAAACTCATTTAGCTATCTAGTTAGTCTACCAATATTGGCATACTTTCTGCATTGAACTAGCTTGACCCTTTAGTCAAAAATTATATACATATAGATCTATTTCCTCGACTTATTTTATTCCATTGACATACTCTGTTCTAATACTATACTCTCTTGATTACTGTAACTTTATGGAAAGTATTAAAAATCAGGTAATTCAAGTCTTCTAGTTGTTTCAAGATTACTTTGGTTAAAGGTCTGCACTTGTACATAAAACTTAAAGCCAGTTATTCTTTCTTTTGACAGTGATTGTCTTAAATCTACAAGTCAGTTTAAGAATAGGAATTTTAAACAAAATTAAGTTTTCCAACTCATGAGCATGTTATATCTCTTCCTCTAGTTAGACCTTTTAAAAGTTCAGTAACAAAACAAAAAAAAATAGAGTCTAAAAAAGAAGTTTTTTCAGCAAGGCTTGTAAAATCCTTCTATTGGTTTGTTCCTAGTGTGACAAGTCAGCTCAGTCATTAGAGCATCAGACACTTTAATCTCAAGGTCATGGGTTTGAGCCTCTTTACCCACCCCCCCAGACCACACTATGTAATATGTCTGTCATTGTGTGGATGTTAGCTAATTTCTCCAGTTATTTATGTACTTGGTGACGTCACCTAGCTGTAAAACTTCTGCCTTTAAGGAGAGAATTGTCATCAGATGTCCTAAAACTCAAACTCTAGTTTTAGGATAATCATTGTCCAAAGGAATCTCTGCTTCAAGGTCTCCTTGGTCAACAGGTGAATTATATAGTTGGTGCTGCTATTTCAGGTCAAACAGTCATTTCAGGCCTGTTTTCCCAGGATCCTAGAATTCCTGCCTTATAGGTCACCTCTGTCTTTGAGTATACCAACCAAATTGTCTTGTATCCATGCTCTCCAATCATGTCTGCTCTTCCCCTATGCCCTCCCCTAAACCTCAACCTTAGTCAATTTCGAAGACTGTGAACCTGAGCTCCATTAGAGCAAAGGGGTAGTACTGCTTTAGGGATAAAAACTGAGGTGGTCCTTTGCCCCCATGTGTGTGCTGGCTTGCCTCACTTAGGTTGGAGGCACACACCCACCCTTCTGCAGAAGTAAATTTTGCCTTGCCCATCAACTTTTAAGCATGTATCTGATTTGTGATAACACAGGGTTATTTCAATTTTTTATTAAAACATTGTTTTTAAAATTTAAGTTTCAAATCGGATTACTAGCATGCCCTGGCTTTCTTATTAAAAATTTTGCTAAATTCACTTTTCAGTTCTGGTTGACACTTCTCTTCCTTCCTTTCCCCTTCTTTTTTAAACTGCATAAGGCTTTCTATGTAGAGTCACACTGTCAATAATGACCACGTTGACTTGTGTTTCAGCGTCTTTTGCCTCAGTGGCAAGATCTCCAGAATAATGATGTAGAGAAATGGTGAGAGCAAGTATTTTTGCTTTGGTTAAAATTGCACCATTATGTGCGGTGTTTCTCACAGATGCCCTCCATCTGACTGAGGAATATGTTCCTAGTTTGCTGCTGAATTACTCAAATCCCTTTCTGTAATCATTGAGATGATTGGCTGCATTCATGGATTTTTTTTTTTCTTTCCCCATTACTCTGCTCACAGGTTAATTATGCTGGCTGACTTCCCAATGCTAAAACAAACTGTTCTTCTTGGAATTAAACCTATTTGGTCATGATGTATTTTTCTTTTAAACATTGCTAGATTTAATATGATAATATCTTAAGGATATTCTATGCTTTTATTTCTATGTTCTTGAGGGATATTAGGCTGTTATTTCCTTATAATAAAGTTTTGAAGTTTTGTACCAAATACTGTATTTCTTAGGAGTCATCTACATAAGTACGATTTGTCAAAGGTATAATACATACAAAAATCAATTGTTTTGAGGATGGAGTCATTATGATTAAAAATTTTAAGATCATCTATTTGACCTATATACACTTCACACTTTTCCTTTCATTTTCTCTTTGAGATTGGGTCTTACTACATAGCCCAGGCTGGCCTTAAACTTCCTCCTTCCCTCCCCACTGCTGGGGTTACAAGTGTAAACCATGATGTATGGCTTTTTTGTTTGTTTTTTGAGACAGGGTCTCCCCATGTAACACAGGCTAATCTTGAACTGATGATCCCCCTACCTCCATCTCCCAAGGGCTGGGATTACAGAAGTCTACAACCATGCCTTGCAAAGTTCACGTTCTTTAAAGTGAATACGAAGCTAAAAAAATCCAGGGAAAGAATCGTGATGTGAGACAAGTTCCCCAATCAAATGTTTTGTTTTTGTTAGATGTATTCTTCACTTGCATTCATCTCACAGGAAAGGAAAAAAAAAGAACCTTGCATTGATGATTAATGTATGATAGCTAATGCACTGAGGCTCAAACTCCAGGAACAATGAAAATTAGAGAAGTTTTCTCCTTGTCTGCTTTGTTTTCTTGAAGTGTTAAGAGATAGAACCAGGGTCTTGCACATGCTAGGCAAGCGCTCTACCACTGAGCTACATTCCCAGCTCCACAATGAAGTTTAATAATAAAAACTACTGGAGTAGTTCAAAGCAGTTCTAATATTTTCCATTCTATGAAAAGCAAGAGCAGTACCTTCCCAATTTAAAACACAAGACAACAAATCCAATGTATTTCTGATCAAAAGTACAAGTCAGAGGATAATCTTTTAATAGTAAAGAAAATACAAATCTCACCTGCAATAATGTGTCTGCTACTTATTTAAAAAGTCAAAACTTTATGTATACACATACACGCACACGTTTTTGTATACAGAGAAAATGTCCGAAAAGATAACCTCACAATGGAAACAGCTATGGCTGAGATGGGAGCTATGTGAGAATGCTTCATGCTTTCCAGCAATGGTCTGAATTTTCAGATGTACAGTTTGTGTAACTAATATAAACTTTAAAAAAATCCTTCAAACAGTGAATCACAAGTCTTCCCCGTGGAAGTAACATACCTGTTAAATTATTTATATGTAATCTGAAAAGTAGAAGTGATATAAAAGTTGGCCACATATTCAAATCCTACACTTTAATAATTTTTCCCAATTGTCTTTTGGACAATTTGCAATATATATATTTAGGATTGCCCTTGAATTGCTTAACAAATAGACTTAAGAAAATAAACTAGCAAAGTATCATTTTGAAAAGTTTTCTTAATTTCTTTTAAATTATCTAGCCTCAGACTTCATTAATCAAATATTTTATCTGAAAATGAATCATGTTCAGTATTTCCTTTTTAATCCACAAACATACAAAAGATAAGAAAAGCAGTAATTTGCAACAAGTAATGACTTAGTATACCAAAAACTATCTTAGACATTTTTTTTTTTTTAATGGCAAATTTGCCACACAGGTCAGGTCTTACAATCCCATCAGGAAAAAAAAGGGTATTTCTGTAAGAACTGCAAATAGTCAAAACCAACACACCTTCACTCTCTAATAATCTAAATAAAATAATCAAGACTGTTTTCACCCATTGTATTTGCAATGAATTATAAAATGATAATACTACTGTTGGCAAGGACTTACTGGTACTCTTTTACACTTGCGTTGGTACAACAAGTAGTACAGATTTCTGAAGAACAATTTGATTACCAGTTATGAAATCCTTAAAATGCCATAATCATTTACTACTTAACAATTCATTTTCATTAGAATTTCCTTGTTATGTGTAAACAGAGGTAGTAAAAGTAAGCATAACTTTAAGAGAGTTTTATGGTTCCAGACAGAAGACTTACTAGCATGCTCACCTAAGCCAACATAGCTATATGCCACATTTCTCCAACTCCCCTCTTAAACTGAGCAGAAGTAGAAAGAACCAAAGGAAAACATGTTGAACTCTTACTGCTCCTGAGCATTTAATTCCTTCAAACAGCACAGCATCTGAAAGGTCACCTTTTCATGATACCAGGAGAAAAAGGGTGTGGACAAAAGGGAGGGAAGGAATCCTGCTCTTTTGCAAATCCTACCCTCCATTACAGGGAATAAAGAGGCACTGACTTTCCAAGCAAAGGAACCGAGTGTGACTGTATTAAATCTTATCTAAAGCTTTCCCGTAGAGTTTATTTAAAGTTCTTCAATTAGTGATTTAAGATGGTTTAGGTGATATTCTTCTATGAAGGATTCTGCTTGATTCACAGCTTTTATTTTCATCAGAATGAGAATGATTTCTTTGACTTCATTCCTGAAAAACAAAACAAAAAAGCATTTCCCTCCTTAAAAATGCAATCTATCAGGGCTGGAGTGAACTCGGTGGTAGAGGGTGGTGCTCATCACACAGGCGACCCTGGGTTTAATCTATAGCACCAATTCCTCTCCCCCGACACACACACCAAAAAACAAAGCAAAGAACAAACAAAAAAATAAGGGCATAGCAATCAACTCAGGACCTAATTATTAATCATTAAAACCAAGGCTTTACACCTTAAGCCAATATCTAAAACAGCATAAAATAGAGAGAAATACAGAGATGTAGCCTTCTTTGCATACAGTCATTAATTGCATGTACTGAGGAACTGCTGGAGACTTCCTATCACCTAGTGATGGAGCCACCATCATGCCATATTGCAACATATTACTCATGTTTGTGGTAATGCTTATGTAAAAAGACTGCACTGCCAGATAAAAGTACAGTGCATAGTTACATACAGTACACAGTATTTGATAATACAACTGTTACTGGCTTTTGTATCTATACACTATATTTTTTAGTCATTATTTCACAGTGTACTCTTACTCAATAAAAAAAAAAAGAGCTTTACAATGAAGCAGTGTGCTGTATTACACCAGCAGTAGCTGCATACAGCTCACGTTTATTCCATCACTTAACTGCATCATTTTCCTTTGTGCTTGATTTATTCAAGTCCCTAGGGCACCAGGCTGCCCTGTGTGTGTGTGTCTGTAGATATGTATGTAGAAGGATACTACACTATGTAGGTTGTCTAAGTACACTCTACAATGTTTGTACAACAAAATCACCTAATGATGCATTTCTTAGAATGTATCCCTGTCATTAAGAAATGTATACCTACAACTATAAAGTTCAAATACAGTCTATTAATAGATGTATTCTGGTGAATTTCAGTGTGAACAATTAAAAAGCCAAAAAACACAGAATTAAGTCTATCATCAGAAATCTTATTAGTGCTGTGCTGCTATCAGGTTGTAGGGACCATTGTGATAGAAATGGTGGTGGAGTATTTACACCAAGATCATCAGCAAATGCTACAAATCTTGGCTGTTTTATTTTTATTTCTAGTGTACTTAATTCTCTAACCATCCTGATGCCTAGTGCACACTGAACAAGTGTGGAGTCTTAAAAGTGGCCAAGGTAATTAAAAAAAAATTTTAAATGTTGTTAAATAGTGCTTGAGATCAAACTCAGGGCTCGTGAATGCTAGGTAAGTGCTTTACCACTAAAGCTACGTCTCCAGTCCATATTTTAAAATGCTTAATAAGAGACTTTTGATTTATAGTTTTAATTCTAAATTCCCCTGTGTGTGTGCTATAGTTTTTTTGGAAGTGTTTATTTTGGAAGAGATTTGTATTTAAAAGATGAATATGCTTGGGGTGTAACTATGAAACGGTGAACCATTCCAAACGTAACCATAAAAAAAAATCTATGAATTCTATAGTATTATAAAATCTTGACAGATTTTAAAAAGTATAGAGAAAGTACAAATCTTTCCAAAAATTGATGTGAGCAGACAAAAATCCTTGTATTATGCTTCTGGAAGTGAAAATAAAATATGCATTACCTGAATTCACTTCTAGATAATTTATGTGCAGACTGTAATAAAAACTGAATGAAGTTTTCTAGCTGGGGAATAGATGTCCTCATTGAATTTTCAAACCAGTTTTCTGGTAGACACGCTGCCACCTGTTAATCAAAACACATGGCTAGTTTACATTAATGACAGTTATCTAAGGAATCTTGCAAAAATAATCTCACAGTGATTGTGCAAGTTGAGAATTATTCTTTCCAAGCTGATGGTTTAATAAAAATTTTGAAAAATTTCCCTTTGTCAAAGGTAACATAACATTTTAAAAATTCATTCTTTATTGGTAAGAGCTTAAAATAGAATACTCTTTATGAACACTCTCTGGTAGTACTTATGATTCTTTATATATACTTGTAATCCTGAGAACCCGTACAAAACATAATTTACAACTAAAAGCCATAAATCTCCAGACATAAAACACTTTTAGCCAACACAACCATAAAATATGTACATTCAGTATTATTTCACAAAGAAATTGGGTAGCCTTATACACGATCTACGTAAACATATTAGAGGTAAGGAATCAAGTGATACAAAGATATATAGAATGAAAGAAATTAATTATGGTTCTGTCTACCAATTTAATACATTGCTTTAAATGCCCCAAAAGAGTCAATGGATTGTGTTCAATTGATCCTTTGGAAAAACAAAGCCAAACTTCAAAATTATCCTCCTAAAGATAATCCATGGTTTGGGAGAAAATTTGTTAAACCTAGAAAAATGTTAAAAAAAAAAAAGAAAAACTTCCTCATAACAAAAAGAAGAAACAAAGAAAGTAGGGAGGAGAACAAGAAGGAAAAACTTGAGATTATACCATAAAGAAACTCCTTGACACCAAACAAGTTATGCCACAATTGGTAGGATCAAAATCAATATATATAAAAATGACAAAGTGGGAGGAAAAAAAATGCACCAAATATGTATTATAAAACATGGTAAATGAAAGTTCTGGACAGCATTTTCTAAAATAAATCTGGTTGGTCAGCATTAAAAACAGTTAAGAAAAAGGTGGGGAAAGCTGGGCATGGTGGTGCACACCAGTAATCCCAGGCCTTCTGATGTACATAGAGAGACTCTGACTCACACAAACGAACAAATGAAAGGGTTGGATGGGGTTGATGCTGTGACTCAGTGGTGGAGCACATACTTAACATATGTGCCCTGGATTTATACCAGCACCACCATCACCACCACCACCACAAACAAAAACAACTGAAACAAAACAAAAAACTATGGTTGAGGGAAGAAGACTTACTGTATTATTGCATTGTATTTTTTTTCTATTGTCGAGAAAAAAATGAAGCCACATTGGGACTGTACAGGCAGAAGTTTCTGTAAGATTTGTTAGGTAAACTATGTTTTCAAAAGATTCTAAAACCAGTCTTTATCGGCTTAGAATTTAATGTATTTTGTACTTGCTTTTCCCTTATTTTGTATCACAAGTCTTCATAAAATTCTAATGTAACAAGGAAGCTTGTCCATAGATAATCACAGGATCAAAATGTGACTTAAAGTCACATTTTGTTGGTCTGCATTTCTGCCCATATGTTGTGGAAAGAATGTATAAACATATTTTGTCTTCTGTACTCTATAGTAGACCTTTTTGCTCCAAGGAGACTAACTAAACCTGAAACACCCAACATGGATGATGATTTAAGTTTTGATATATGATATTTAAAATCATATGATATAAAACCTACAGCCAAGTTGGGCACACACCTATAATTCCAGCTACCCGGGAGGCAGAGGCACGAGGAGTGCAAGTTCAAAGCCAACCTGGGCAAAGTTAGCGAGACTCTGTCTCAAAAAACAAAACACAAACAAAAGGGTTGGGGACATGGCTGAAGTGGTAGAGACCTGGCCTAGCATGAGCAAGGGTTCAAACCCCAGTAGTGCAAAAACAATGAAGACTATAGCCAGAAAAATCAAGTTTGGTCAGGAAATGATACATAGTTTCATGTCATTTTCACTAGAAATTATAAAATATTTTTCCACATTCTTAAAAATTCTTCAACAATATGGCTTTTATCTATGGACAGACCACTGGACATTCAGATAGTTTACTGCTATCCTGTATTATAAATAATTTTATAGTGATATTTTCATTCTTAAAATCTATGTATATCTCTGATTTTTGACCTAGGATAAATTCTAAGTCAAAGTTGTGAACTTTAAAAAGTTTTATATCAATCAAGCTTAAATATCCTCCAGAAGATCTGTGTTCCTTCTCCCACCAGTGGCGGACACTGTTTCCAGAACTGCTGTACTGTGCACACAGGTGACGGGACTCCTGCAGCACTGGGACCATTATTTCCGAGCTTCCAGCAGTACTAGGAATTACAGGTAAAATAACAAAGCATGCCTTCAACACAACTGATCAAACAAGTGTCTTTACTGCACTGTAATTTACATTTCTCTCTTTATTCATACTGCTAATCTTTCCCATGTATTTGTAGGTTATTTTTGCCTATCTTTTTGTGGTGACTTGACTGTGGATTATTTTTAATAAGAGAATTTGAATTGTTTACTGATTTTTAAGACTTTTAAGATTTAATGTGGATTTTAATCCTTATGTGTTACTTCTTTCCTAGTTTCTCAAATCCTTTCCTTTAGAGCTTTTTGTTAAAGAAAATTTCAAACATAAGAGGAGAAAGAACAGTAAAGTGAGGTGAACGAACACATTCTCCAGTTTCAACAACGATCAATCAGTTTACCTCCACACTGTTCTGCATTGTTTGCTTCACTGAGTTTTTTATTTTTGTCAAGTCTATTGCTTTTCTCAATTCTTCTTTTGCCTTTATGTTTACAAGGCCTAGTTAGTAATTTGTTCTCAGATAGTGATTTCTCTTCTTGGTATATTTTATAACTTCATGTTTTACATTAATTTTTTATTATACCTGAAATTAGATTATGTATTGATTAACGGTTAATTTGGTGCTGGGGATTGAACACAGGACCTCATGCATGTCTGGCAAGTGTTCTATCACTAAGCTATACCTTTAGCCCTCACCTGGAATTTATATTGATATATAGTGACAGGTTAGGACCTAATTTTTTTTTGTAAATAGGCACTTGTCCCAGCATCATTTATTTTCAGTAATAAAATATCATTTTATCATTTATTATCAGTAATTTTCTTTCTGATGCTATTTCAAACTAGTATACGAATATATATATATATATATATTTTTTTTTTTGATTTTTCTGAGGCTTCAAACTCACTATGTACACGAGACTGGCCTCAACTCATGATCCTCCCATCTCAACCTCCCAAGTGCTGGGATTACAGCTGTGCACCACCACACATTTGGCATTCATATCCGTTTATTAACTCTTAAATACAGAGGGGCAGCTTCTGGGTTTCTAAGTTGATTTGTTTATTCTTATGTGAGCATCACAATTGTAATTATCTTTCTATAAGACAGAGTTTAATAGTTTAATTTTCTTTGTTTTATATTTTCAGTTTTTTGACAGGGTCTTGCTATAGTTCAGGTTGGCCTGAAACTCATGATCCTCCTGCCTGAGCCTCCCGAGTGCTGGGATTATAGACATGTCCCACAATGGCCCATCTTAATAGCTAATTTTTTTTAAGTAATAAAATTAAAATCAGTTCTTGAACAACTAACCTGGCAGCACTTTTTAACAACATCTGGTCCAGGTACGGCATTAAGAAGAGCTATAATAAGGTAGCGATTTAGCAGCTTCTCTAGTCCTAGCTCTCGCAAGGTGTCATCTGGGAGGAGTCCATTCCAAAGAACAGTATTTCGGAAGAGCTAAAATAAAGTATCAAGTGATTATGGATGAAGAAATTGCAAAGAGGAATTTTAACAGTCTCTAACAACCATAAAAAGTAGGCCAAACTCTTCAATTCTAGCCCTATTGTTAAGTCAACTTTAGAAAACACTGCTGATTCTTTCTGACCTCCCAGTATTTGCTAATTTTCTAAGATAACCACCCCAAATCTGGGGCCTTTCCAGATCAATCCTCTCCCTCCTCAATCCATTTGCTCTCAAGAATGGCCTGGGGTCATTTAGTGCAGATTCATAAAGGCCTGCTGTCATGGTTACCAATGTATGGCCTTACGAAGTCAGTCAGTGGTGACATATAATACAATAATAATCTGTATTAAGTACCATAATAAATTCTGTAAAATAAATACTGTTTCTTTTTCTTTCCTAAGCCCAGGTCTGTCTGTGAATTTTAGGGCATTTTCCACTTCCTTTCCAGTACTTATTACTACTCTGAGAGCTGAATGACATGCAGTTTTACTAACACATCATACTTTTTATGTAATTGCTGGTGTTGCTCCCTCTCTTGGGAAATCTCTTCCCTGACTCAGTCAGGACAAGCATTCACTCTATCGCAACCACTCCTGCTGAGGTGATCTCTGTCCTTCCAATTGTTAAAGTCAATGGCTTGTTTTATTGTTTCTTAACTCTTTTTGGTGGCATTTAACACGTGCCAACCTTTTGTTTAGGTTCCTTAAGGCCACCCTGTTGTGGCTGTTCTATAGTTTCTCTTCCACTTTCCCTGTCCCCTCTTCTCTCAGTATTTCCCATGTTCTGCTTTGGCCTCTTATCATGCTTCAACCAATCTCCTCAGAACTTGTTATTCATGACCAAGGCTGTCGACTTCCAAATCCCCAGCTCAGCTCTATCTCCTGAAATTTGGGCTCATATATGTAGCTGCCTCCTATACCTCTTATCTCTATTTCTGTTCCATCTTCACAGCTGTGTTCAATACTACGTTCAGAACAGACCTTGTATTCCCTCCCAGGCCTTTTCTTTTTCCATCTCCTACAACATGCCCCCCAAAAATGTCATAAGCTTCCAGGTTGCCACAGTCAGGAACTTGGCTATGTATGATCCTGTGTTCCTCACATGTAATTAATTTTAGTCATGGAGTCCTTTCAGTGCTTCATCTTAAACATCTTTTGAACTCTTCTGCTCCTTAACCATCCCTACCACCACTCTCTTAGCAATGACTTCATTATTTTTTTGACCAAGAGTTGAAAAACTATGGCCTGGGGGTTAAATCCAGTCTGTTTTTATAAGGTCTATGAGACAATAGTAGTTTTCACATTTTTTTCCTTTTTTAAATTAGCATATAATAGATGTATACTGTGACATTTACATATACGCTTACTATATATCTTTGTCAGATTTATTCCCTTCATTGTTCTCCTTCCCTCCCCCTTTTCTTAGAACAATTCCAACAGTTTCCATTCTTCTATTTTCATATATGAGTACAAAATACATCTACCATATTCTCCCTCATTGCATTTTTAAAATGTCATGAAAAAACAAGAGGATATTTTTAACAGGTGCAAATTATATGACATTCATTCAAATTTTGGTGTCCATTTTAGCAAAGTTTTATTGAAACACAGCCACACTCATTTGTTTACATGTTGTCTATGACTGTTTTTGTACTACAGTGGCAAAGAGGAGTCATTCAACAATTACCATTTGGCTCACAAATCCTAAAATATTTAGTCTGGTCTGTATAGAATTCTACTGTTTTGTTTTATAGGAAACTTATTAAAAGTAAATCTACGTTTTTATTTCTACAGATTTTTTGCCCACCTTTAGAGCTGACCAGAACTGCCTTTCTTGGAACTTTGAATGTGATGATGTTTTGTCTTCTACAGCACTAATTTGAAACCAAAAAAGAGAAAGGAGAAAATGTAAAGGACATTACTTTTTTAGAACCACCATAGTTAATAAAACAGATTTTTTAAACAATCAAATTAAATCTAAATAGAATATTAACTGAGGAACAATAAATTACAAATGCACCCACACTGACCCAACAATCCCACCATTGAGAATGCCTCTTACAGATAAGCTTGCACATGCACAGACTGCCAGATTACTTACAAGTCATTGTTGGTAAGAGTTTACCACTCACATGCCTGTCAGTTACAGGACATCTATATGGTGACATGGTATGCAGCTTAAGAAAGAACAAAGGGAACCAGGACGACATGAAATGATTTCAAGTGTGTACTCAGTGAAAAAAGGTACAAAACTGGTTACAACTGACAACAGACTTCATTTGCTACAGAAAAGTAGGGGAAAATACAGTACATGTAAGTATCTACTTCAATGTGCATGAAAAAAATCTGGAAAGAAAAACAAAAATTGCTAACAGTGATTATTGTTGCATACATGTATGTTTGGGGAAAGGGCCAAATCTGAGTAGACAGAGGTTGGGGTGGGAGTGAGTAAAACTTTTCATTTTAAACATAAGTAAATAAATCACATTCACTTTTGAACCATTTTTGAATGTATTATGTATTTAAAACATTACAAAACAGATCTTACCAAGGAATAATTTTTATACATGGATTTTTCTTCTTTACTCAAAATAAGCCAGAAAGCTGAGCTTCCTTTTATCCCCTGCCCATAGGGCTCTTCTGTCCTGTGAGAAACCACCAGGCAGCTACAGTTCATAAATCATTACTGTAACTGAAGCCTTTTTAACAAATGTATCAAATACCACTTGTTTCATAAGATGACTAAAGAATTACAGTTGCGTTTCTGGTCCTTCAGTGATGTTCTAGGCTTATGTTATTCTTCCTCCGTACCAAGAATGATTCTGTTCTGACCATTTCTTCTTCCTACTAACTGACTGTGGAATAGTCACCAATTTTATCCTCATTTGACAGATGAGGACACTGATACATGGAAAAAACCCAAGGTCAAATATTTAGTAGTGGTGGATCCAAGTTCTAGAACCTATGCTCTTTACCACTCTTCCACCTCTCATGTTCCTAGGATATATTTAAAAAACCAAAACAGAAAAGATATCACACATGATGCCCAAGTGCCAAGCACCATGTATGGTAAATAACAGGTAACTGAGAAATATTTGTTGAAAAAGCAATTTACATATTAATAGATTATGTGTATGTATGTTTTGAAAGCAGTAATTTCTTTTGTATTGCATTCTTAAACAAACTCCTTTTATATGATGAGTTATTTCAAACAATCTAGAAAGAATAGCTCCTACCTTTTTGGATATAGAGGAATAAAAACATCATCTTCTATTGCCTTCTTGATTCTTGAAACAATGGATTTAAGTAAATCCTATTATCAAAAAATTTAAATAGCATCAACAGAACTTACAGTTGGGAATATATTTACCAAAAGGCACAATTTTAATCATCCATTAAAATAATATACAACTGGGTGTAAGAGAAACTTATCCATCCAGGTTGTTGCATATGGCTATAGTTGGATTATTTTTACTTCTGTACTGTATTTGCATAAATACCACACATGGGAAGCTTAGGTGATTTCTAGTTTGGGGTCTACTATAAATAACAGTGCTATAAAGGTTCTTACAGAAGTCTTTTAGTAAGTATGCATAATGAAATTGCTGGAATATGACCACGTGTTCAAGTTTACACAAAATGACAAATTACTTTCTAAAATAGTGGTATCCCATTTATACTTCTACCAGCTGTATGAGAAATCCTGTCTCCCTACAGCTTACAAAAATTTGTTCCTTTCAAATGTTTATAGTTCTGATGGATATGCACTCACACTGAATTATTTTAATCCTCACTTCCCTGTTCCTTCCCATATTCTTATTTGCCATGTGACAGGCCCTTTAGCAAAGTACCTTGTTAAACTGCTTGTCTAGGTTTCTGATTTTTTTGTATTAGGTTCTTTTTCTTATTAATTTGTAGAAGCCTATAACTAAGCTGTTACCCTATACTATTGAAATGTTTATTCATATACAATTCAAACAGTTGTATTTTTTCATATACTCTAAGTATGGGTACCTCATTGGTTTATCTCTGTATTTTGACATAGCAAATTCACTTTGGCTAAATTGTTTTGTTTGTATGTCAAAAATTAAAAATGACCAAAATGTTCAGAGATATTAAGGGCCTTATGTTATATCCATCTGTGGAATGTAAGAATTAGCTCCACCTTTTGAAGGCTGTCGTAAGTATGCAGTGAGATAATGCTAAGTGAAGAGAAGGACATGCACAAGTCCATTAGGGTTATAACTTTGAAAAAGAGGCTGGATGAAAACGTCCTACGAGGACACCAGTCCTTGACACCATTACTAGGATGAAAAGATCCATGGGAGTTTAAAACATTTTTCAAGTATTAGCAACATTTCTATAGTGGAATATTGTTCTTATTCTTTAAAAAATCCACATTTGAAAAATGAAAATGGCACACTACACAGCAGAATGACAGTGATTTTTAAGTCACTGACACTGTGTGTAGCACAAAATTAAGCTGTCACCCTACACCAAACTGATAATAAATGTACAATTCAAGGTAATGTATTTTTAATAAAAGGCATATTTAACTGAATTAAGTCTATTTCTCTTTCTACTTAGTAATCCCTGACATACTCCTCAAGTGGCCATTTATCAATGCGTGTAACATCAAAACAAACTAAAACTCAATTTTATATTATTCTGTTTCTTAAACATTTTGAATTGTTTTATAAAAAAAAGATCATGATCTAGGCAATAGCTCTACAAAATAGTGTTTGACCTTATAGAAATTGTTTTACTTTATTTACTACATTTGTAAACTAGGGACTGAACCCAGGGCCTGCAATGCTAGGCATGTGCTCTTCCACAGTTACATCCCTAGTCCCCAGGTATTATTACCTGCTTGCTTTTACTAACTTCATTTTCACAAGTGGAATGCTCTTCAAGGACCACTCTGCAGTGTGTTATTAAACTTGTTGTCTGTGAGGTTGACAATGGATCCCAAATGAATTCAACAAAATCTGAAACAAACATGTCAGTGATACACAATTTATTTACTAGGTTGTTTTGTTTCTCATGTATAAATAATTGAAGTCTTTTGCATAGACCATTTCCCTTCTTATTCTAAAATCTATGGCCAATCATTACTATTAAATATTTGCATATACCCCCAATTTCCTTGTTCTCTTTTGGCTTTATTGAACAACCCTATTTAAAACCACCTTGTCATTGAGTCTGTGCATGCAAATATGCAGCTAAAATGTGGATTAAAAAAATCACATTAAATCAATCACCATAATAGTTAAGTAAGCCCTTAAGGCAGGGCAGCAATTATATTCTTTCCCTGGTCCATTCACGTTCCCTCTTATTTATGTAATTATCTCAAACCTTCTCCCTCCTCCTTGCTCTCATTCTCAGCTGATGGATTTTACTTTTCTAGATAACTATTTCTCCTCTCTCTCTCAGCTACTTACTTCTTAATTTGATGAAAGAAAAAAAATTTAAAAAAGCAAGCAGAAGAAAAGGTCCATAAGCTCCTACCACGGCCTCCACACACCTACCTGCACCTGTGCCAATAAGCACTACCTTGTCTGTCTCCTATTCCTATGGATGAAGCACCACACTCCCAGTTAACGTCAACCCTTGACTTGCGCAAGAGAATCCAATTCCTCTGTCTCACTTGAAGATCCTGTTCCTGGAATTCTGCCCTTTAACTTCAGTACTGTCATCCATGACTTCTACTCTTCTGTGTCAGCCATCAAACAATTATTTCTCTTCCATTAAAAACAATCTCTCTCTTAACCCCATTAACTCACTCCAGTACTGTACCATTCCTCTCCTTCCTTTAAGACAAAATTCCCCCAAATACTGTTTACCTCCAAATTTTCTTTTCCCATTTGTTCTTGGATTCCTTCATTAACACCTTACCATCCACCATTCTACTGACACTACTTACATCAAATCACATAGGACATTCACATAGACAATGCCAATGATTCTAATCCACACTGGCCAATTGTCAACAGTGGAGTAGTGCATCATTCTTTCTCCCTAGAAACACTTATTCTACTTGGCTTCCAAAGGACTACTCTCTTAGTTTCCTGCCTGCCCCTCTGGTCTTTTTTGACTACTTGTCACTTCTTTGACTTCTAAATGCGGACAGCCTCAGGACTCTGGGGTCAATTCCCTTCTCCTTCCTTCCTTACTATTGAAAGTCATTTTATGACTTTAAATGCCATCAATATGCTGATAAATTCCAAATTTAAAACTCTTGGTGGGTACACTCTTTTGAGCCTCATATATCAACAATCTACTTGACGTTTTCACTTAGATAACAGGTATCTGGAACTCGACATATCCCACTTATGCTCCCAATACATCTCCCCAGCTATACTTGCTCCTTTCAGTGTTTTCCACTTTGGGAAATGGCAACCCTGTCTTTCCAGTTGCTCAAGCCAAAAACCATGGTGAATCCCCTCTTTTTTTTTTGCCCCACAACCAATCCATTAACAAATTCTGTAAGTGTTACCTTTGAACTATATGAAGAATTCAACTATAGGAACCTGGTCTCTCTATTACTTTCTTATAAAGTTACTTATTTGCATTTCCTTCTGTTGCAAAACTTCTAAAAAATGTATTTGTAATTCTAACAGAAATTAATGATCTTATACTTTGTCAAAGAGCAACTTAATTTTAGCAAGATTATGAGGTACCTGTAAGTCGAGGAATAATTGTTTTGTTGATGACAGCAGACAAGATTTTTTCATCAGGACTACTATCCTTCTTTGTATCTTCCACACTGCTATCCATAAATTCTTCTATAGATGTGAACCACGGCATCTGTTTTAAGCCTATGGAATCCAACTTGTAAATGGAATTATGAAAGTTATAAATAAATTCTTAAAAAGTAGCATATTTTATAGCATATTTTTAAAAAGTTGCTAACTTTTTCAATAATCACTAGAATTTTTATAAGGATAAAGGAGAGTGACTCTGTATTTTTACACTATGTATGTATGCAGCACCAGACCAGCAAGGACAGATGACATGACTGAGATAGGGTGTCTAGGCAGTGTAATGAAAAAGTCATACTTTGTGCATTTATTTGTACAACAAATACTCAACACCTGCCTCCTGTGTGCCAGGGCTTTCAGAACCTACTGAATGGCAAATACGCTGGATCAGAACAAAACATACTTTCGTTAAGCACTTGAAATAGCCATGAAATTTCTTTATAAAAATTCATCTATCTCAGCTGGGCACCAGTGGCTTACGTTTGTAATCTTAGCTATTCAGGAGGCACACATCAAGAGGATCATGGTTTGAAGCCAAACCGAGGCAGTTTGTGGGAGACCCTATCTTGAAAAACAGAATACAAAAAAAACAGGGCTGGTAGTGAAGTGGCTCAAGTGGCAGAGGGCCTACCTAGCAAGCCTAATGCCCTGAGTTCAAGTCCCACTACTGCCAAAAATTAAAACAAAAATCACCTACCTCAAACAAAATTTATTTCTGGTCCTTTTGATTCTCATAAATATAAATGTATGATTCATCTGTGGTTTAGCTTGTTAGCAAATAGCAGTTGGCCAATTATTGCTTCTTGAGTGGATAAATGAAATGATCTGTGCTAGCCAAAGAAAGTATATCAACTAGGTTACTGCCCAACCAACTACTTAGTACTTTCTTAGAAGTAAGCTTGGTTGCTGTGCTGTGAAGACTGTATGGTTCTGAACCTAACGTAGAGCTAACAGGAATGCAGCACTAAAACAGAAAGAGTGGAAGTGTGTTCTCAGCAAAAAGAGAATGATATGGCCAAGGTTCCACCATTTACTTTATGAAATCTTTAACTTTAGCTCTAGTCTGTTTCCAGAACTTCATTTTCTCCTGTGTCTGCTAAGCAGGCATATCTACATGGATTTCTCCTTAGTTCGTTATCTATGAGGTAAAACTTCCTTCAAATCCTTTTCTCTTTTTCTGAAAAGCTCCCATTTCCACTAATGGAATGACTATTCTAATATTCTAGAATCCAAGCTTGGGACTCTCTTTTCATGTAGAGGGTTTGGGTTATACTCTACACTTTACTCTTTTTTTTTTTCCGGTAATGGGGCTTGAACTCAGGGCTTTCACCTTAAGCCACTCCACCAGCCCTATTTTTGTGAAGGATTTTTTGAGATAGGGTCTTGCAAACTATTTGCCTAGGCTGGCTTCAAACCATGATCCTCCTGATCTCTGCCTCCTGAGTAGTTAGGATTACAGCATGACTTTACTAATTCCTACTTCATGATACCTCTTGTAATCAAGAAGTAAATCCCTTTCCCAGTATCATCCTACATGACAAAACTGTCACCTTGAACTCTGTTCAAGCTACTTTGTTAATAGCTTTCTATATCTTTTCCCTTCAAGTTAGCCTACTATGAGGGTTTCCTATAACATTATTTTCAACATGTCACTTCTATACTTTCCAAAACAAGTTCTTGTCTCAGTTTAGGATCTGTGATCAGTGTAGTCTCTAGCTTCTGAACTAGTATTTCTCCCTTTATACCTTTATGAAATACTTTTTCTTTCTTCTCTCCTCTTGCTGAAGACTTAGACACCGTTCAAAGCCTTGTTTAAATTCCTCCTCCTTCTCCTCAATGTGCTTTCCTTCTTTCCTCCCTCCCTCTCCCATCCTTTTGTTTTTCTAGAGTTACTGAGGTTTGAACTCAGAATCCTGTGTTTGCTAGGCAGGCGCTTTTCTAACGAGCTTTTTCCAATATGTCATCTCCCTCTTCATAATCCTTAGAACAAAGCTTTTATGTCTAATTAGTAAAAACTAATACTACTATACACCTTTGGGGGTATTTCAAACAAAATAAAAGCAGCTTTAAAAATGTATTGGCTTTACTGATGTTTCATATTGCTCAGCCTTAGAAATGAAGTGGAAAACAAGAAAAGAAGAATGTACTTGCACTACACAAATTCCAAGCTACTGTTCCAAGGCTATACATTTTAGCTCTAATGTTAAAGATCAAATGTTTTACAGCTAACCTGAAAACAAGAAAATTTAAGAAACACATGTTAAGTATAAATACCTTAAGAGGATTCCAAGCAAGCAACTGAACTCTTATTAGTGGATTTAAAAGCTTTGGTATGCATAAACCAACAAAAGCTTCACAATAAGAATCGGGAAACTTTTCTCGCCATTGCTGAAATTTCAATAAAATATTCTGGATGTTACAAAAATCATCATGCACATCTTCAAAAACTTTCCTACAATCTTGTAAAATGTCACCTGCAAACAAAATAAGTCCCTTTATATTATGCATTTTAAGTTTGCTTCCTTAAAAATACAATCATGTATGACTATGTAACCAACTCAGCTAAAATTTTTCCTTTGATATTAATATATAATTTTAGTAATTATTGTAATAAAAATGATATCAACACTAATAAAGTCTACCATTTATTGAGCCCCTGCCTATATGCCAAAAATATTATAAATACATTATCTCATTTTATTACCATTAACTATCTCCTCTACATGGTAGGTCTAACCCAGTTATTTATAGACAACAAGCAAACAAATTTTAGGAGGGCAAGGAATTGGTCTATGATCACACAAAATAAAGCCTATCTTAAACCTTATCTATACAACTGTAAAGCCCAGGATCTTTCAACTATGCATGTAACACCAAAAATGGTTTCACTAAATTCAGATTCAGTTGCTTTAGATTTAAAAATGGTAACACAGGAAGTATGAAGTAATGAAAGAAAGCAAAAGGTTCATTTGTAACAGAAGAAAGGATAAAGGGAAAAAAATGATATAGATGCAAGAATATTCACAATACTCCATTACATTGCACTGTTTTAGAGGTAGCAAAAGTCTTAAGCTTAAAGTCAAAGGAGTTTTCCATTATTCTGGAATTTTCCCATATATTTAAATGCAATTACAGTAAAGCATTTCTCACTATTTTAAACTTCAAATTAAAATACATTAGAATCTGGGCAATTGACCTTGGCTTTTTTGGAAATCAGTCATCTCCAGAGAAGACAGCTCATCATCACTGGATGTCCCTTCTTCATGGTTATGATTCCCAGAGAGTGACCTTGCTTGTCTTCTTTGTGACCTTTATTTTGGAATAAATTGAAAATAAATGAAAAGCAAACAGTCTTGCTGAAAATAAATGCTTTAAAGCAAAAAGGAGAATTTATTATTTGTCATAAACGGCACAGAACCATCGTATCAGCACACAACTTGATGCTACTACTTTTGACACTTTCAGTTTTACTAGTTTGAGTTGTTAGTTCCCCCTTTTTCCTTATAAGACATTCCTAGCTAGAACATTCCCGTGGGTTTCTCAAGAGAGGGCAACAACATAATTAGGACTAACTTCTTGTTAAGAGTGATTCCCAGCCCGATAAATGTTACCTTTTTCATTCCCTTCAACTGATCCAGTGGAGGACTGGTTAACAAGACTTTGGCTTTATGTTATTCTCACAAATTAACACATCAGGTTAGAGTTTATTACATTTAAGTTGTGAAAAGTACTTGCTCAATGATGCTTTAAGTCTTCACTTTATTTAGGTACCTTCGAGATTCAATCTCTTCCAAAATTCTTTGAGTTTTTTCATCTACACCCAAGCTTCCATTTGTTGAGATCTCAGCTTTACCTGTTAATGAATAAAAATGACTTTGTACTGCAAATTCTCTAAAAAATAAAAAAGCGAAACTCTGAAACTAAAGGTAATACCATGGATATATACACATATGTGCAATATATCAACACACATAATATGCTTAAATTGCACATTTCGCTATGCAATGAAATATCAAGTTAATTCTCCATGACAATATTAACAGGCATCAAATTTGCTAGCCTAAAACATGTACCTTGGCTGGCAAAAGTAGTTTTGTACTTGAATCACAACAAAATTCAACCACCAAGTTTCTTTCCCTCATATTCTTGTTTAGCACTTTTTACCAGTTTTTTTTTTTTTTTTTTTTTGGTGGTACTGGGATTTGAACTCAGGGCACTTGCTAGGCAGGTCCTGTACCACTTAAGCCATTCCGTCAGCTCACCATAGTCAAATACTAGAAATACTTGCATTTCCAGAATCTTATTTACATTATTGCCCATTTCAGTATGTACCATTCATTGTTTTTGACTGACTCAATGTGGTGAACTTGAAAGTGACTTTACCTCTGCTTTTACTAGCTATTTAGCTATGGTCTTGTACCTTTTATCATACCTAACAGCACTTTAACTAAAGGAGGACATTGCTGAGATCACAAAAAAGAACTTAAAACATCCAAATCTTATGAGCTCTAACAGATGAATCTATACTGGAACTCACCAAAACCAGTCTGTGGAAAGGCCCTTAAGACATAAAGTTAGATCTTTCACTGAGTCTAATGATACATGGAAACTCATCTCAAAACATGCATTAACTGACCATATAAACATTTTGTCTCAAGTACGAAGCAATTTGAAGTTATAATATTTATTTTTTAGCCTTAGATTTATTTAAGATATTTTGTCACTCTACCTCTACCAGTTTTGGGTTTGGGAGGGACTGGGTGAAGGGTAAGTGTGAAAATACATAAAAGGCATTTTTTTATACAAGAATAAAAATATTTTTATTCTCCAGATGGTAATTTAGTTTAATGGAACAATAAATTGTATTGAACGTAAAAAACACTAACATGATAACTGCTGTAAATACGTTGATTCATGTTTTAAATCGTCTTGCCTGCGTTTCATAAAGGTCATAGCTTGTTTTAAAAGGAGTGCGTGCATGGATGATTCTATTTCCTGGATGGTGGAAATCTGAAATACATATATAAGTAACATTTTGCAGGTCATCAAAAATGAATTATGGAAGTATAAAAAAGTATCATTTATAAGCACATGTATATGCAATTCTTGCATAAACATTTCCAATACTAGCACATCTCAGTTATAAAACACCGTGAAGAGACTGACACTTTCAAACAACAGACAATCAACAGGGATGGGTATTAATATATGGATGATGAAAGCAAATGGGATGGAGTCAGGACATAAAAACCAGTGGGAGATACTAAGAAGGATTCTTCTTTTGACAGGAGAGTGGGAAGACACGAGGGGGCAGCTGTTCTTATAGTGAGGGGCTGACAGTGGTGGGGACATGAAGTGGTCTGGGATGTAGCTCATGGTAGAAAGCCTGCCTAGCATGAGCAAGCCCCAGGGTTCAATCCCTAGCACTAGGGAAAAAAAAATGTTGAATGGAAGAAACCTAAGCAGGGATAGGCAAGAAAGCTGCGGTGCAGAACCAGGGGACTGGGTGAAACTGGAAGTCCTATTTCTGGGGCAATAGTTGCTCCCACTCCAGTGATGCTTCACATCATTATCCACATACTATCTGAGTGAGCTGACTTTCAACAGTGGAGTTCTTTAGGGATGAATGAAGAAAAATATTACATTGTAGTAAATACCTTAGAAAGTAACTACCAAATGCTATTAGAAGGTAGCTTATTCTGAAAAACAACAGAAGACAAAGCATTCACTGTTTCTAACATTTTAATGATAAAAAGTAACAGGGAAAGTAGAGTATAATTTACTTTAAAAAAATCTTTTTAGCTGGACCTATCTTCCAAGCACTTGGGGAGGGAGGCTGTATAGGAAAAAGTCCAGGTGTGGTGATGTACCCCTATAATCCTAGCACTTGGGAGGCAGATATAGGATAATCACAAGTTTGAGGCCTGCGTGGGCTACAGAGACCTTGTCCCTCTCCCAAAAGTGTAGGAAAAATACTAGAGAAAAGTATTCAATTGTGAGATTTATATTTTTCTTTTTAAAACTGTGTAGTAAAAGGGTTTCTCCCCTAAAAGGAAAATGACATAAACATGTATGTGTACCTTTTCATTAAGACAGTCTATTAAATTCTCCACATAAGTTTTCATGCTCTTGTAGAATTTGTAACTTAGAGCGTGATTCGATGAACTCTCCAGGTTCTGGATTGTACTCTTTGAGCTCTCGATATCTTGCATGTACTTTTCATATTCTCTCTGGTGTGAGCGATGAGTATCCTGTAGTAATGTTAACCTAAATAAATAAAATAAAATTGCTTTATTTTTCACCCTTTTTCTCTTAAACTCACAGCCTACAAATGCTTTGAAGGACCTGAGGAGACCGACAGTCATGTAACCCTGGACTTATATAGTACACTTGCTAAGCAGCATCACGACTGGAGAGGTCTAGGAGGGGACGAGGGGACAAGCAAGAACAGACACTGTTTTTTAAAGGTGGGAGCTAAGTTTACATTAGAAGTGAATGAGTGGGTTTTAGTCTATGACTAATGATTGATAAATCGAATTCCAAGAACAATCAATGAATTTGCATTCAAAACACAGGAGTCCATGTGGCGCTATGGTTAGATCAATTTGTACTCTTTCTTGGAACAGAAGTATCTGAATGAGCTGGCATTAACACCATTTAAACATGTCATAGGGCTGGGTGTAAGAGCACACCCTGATATCCTGCTATGCAGGAGGCAGAAATGGGAGGATAGCAGTTCATGCCCAGACCTTATCTCAGAAACAGGCTGAGCATAGTGGTGCATGCCTGCAATCTCAGCTATGTAGGAGGTAGAGCTGAGAGGATTGTGGTCCAAGGCTGACCTTGGGCACAAAAGCAAGACTATATCTGAAAAATAAACAAAGTAAAAAAAGTCATGTCCATGGGGACATGACTCAAGTGGTAGAGGATTTACCTAGCAAGCATGAGGCCGAGTTCAAACCACAGTACTGTAAAACAAAAACAAACAAGCAAAAAACCCCAAAACTTACAGTTCTGTGTAACTTTTCTGTTTTGTGACTCATAATCATTTCTGTTTTGTCATTAGAACTTTCTGTTTCTTGGGGTCTATTGTGTTTCCTCTTATTGCTGCTATCAGTTACAACAGCCCACTTTCTGTTAGAGCTTGTGAATATCACATGCATCAATTGATGGTGCACAAAAAAACTGTGAAGCACAAATCAATGACAGTATATTTTTTAAAATTCAACTACCTGTTATAGACACATGCCAGTGCTACAACAGTGAACGTATTTCTTTAACAGCATTTAGAACATGTATGTTTCCACGAATATTTCTCTGTGAAAGTTTTAGAATTAGTAGTTATCTAAAAAGGAAAATAAAAACCCAGTCTGTAAAATAAACTCATAATAATATTTTTAATCATCAACTCTCCTCCTGGTAGGCTGGTCTTCAAAGAAATTCTTGAGTACTTAATTAGGCTAAATGCCCCTTTCTATAGTTTCTAAAAATCTTCTCTTCCCTCGTGTAAAGAACAGTGAGGTAAAAAAAAAAAAGTGAAGATAGTAATGTACAGCAGGTATTATTAATAAAATATTTCAATTAAGTGGAATACTGGGCATAGCAGTAAGTTTGTAAGTATATAGTATGTACAAACGGTACATGTAGTATGATTCCTGTTCTGTACAAAAAAAATGGGCATTATGTAAACACATATGTACTTCTACAGATAAACACACAGATCACTTCTGGAAGAAGATGAACCAATGGTAGCAAGGGTTGATCTAGGGAAGCCAGAGAATGTATATACTTTTGTACTAGTTGATTCTTTTTAAACCATGCGAATGTATTTTCTTTTAAAAATAAAGAACTTAGTTAAAAAAACAGAATAAAGTTAAAAGAACAATTTATCTGGATTAAATGAAATGCTAATCTATAATCTAAACCAGTGATTTACTGTCTTTTTTTATTCTATCACCTTTGTAATACAATGCTCAGGCGTAATCCCCTAAGAACCACCACATAGATTCTAGTTTGTTTATATGCGGTTCTAGATATAATAGCTCTAATTCTAGGTGCTTTCTTGTAACTAAGGAAACATCAGAATGATAATGAAGTTATTTCAGGCATACTTTTCAATCTGTTAGGGTAATTTCACTTAGTATCACTACAACAAAGTATGAATTTAGGAGTTGGTAAAGTTTCCTCTGTAATATTTTAGGCTTTAAGAGCTAGATAGATGCTCTTACAAATATTCAATTCTGGGTTACAGCACAAAAGCAGCCACAGACAATGCCTGGTTGTGTTCCAATAAAACTTTATCTACAAAAAACATGGGTGGGCTGTTAGTTTGCCAGCCCCTTAAAATACAGGACAATCTACTATCTAAACACTGATACATCTGAAGGTATTTTCAAATACTTACTTCACTTTAAAATGCTGCAAAGTATCTTTCCTATACCAAATCTGCCTTTTTATCTTTTTGTTTTTTTTTTAAAGTACTGGTGATGGAACCGTCTTGAGCGAGGGCTGCACCACTTCATCTACACCCCCAGTCCTCAAATTTTTATTTTAATGAACAACCATAACCAACATATTTTAATTGCAATGTGATTAAGGGATGAAGTTAATTTAAAGCAGATTTAATGAAAATATTCTGGGGAAGAAAATTTTGAACCTATTATTAGGTAAGAGAAAAAAATACATCTTGAAAAACAGTGAAAATATTCTTTAAAAGTTAGGAGAACCAAGTCCTCTCCTTGTATCAAAGACTAATTAAACTATGACCACCATACGTGTTCTTTCATACATCTAATGATACATACAAGATCCTGAGCAGCATGTTACAAAATATATACACTTCAAAGAAAATAACCTCTGATGGGGCTTGCCTTCGTTTTAGCAACAATACCAATTACATTAAGGCTAGAACTATCTGTTTAGGGGATGTATTAATACTTGTAGACTAAGAGATAACTGTACTTTAAAAAGGCAATCTGTAACAAGAGCCATATAAATAGGACCTTTGGCACAGTCAACTTTCCCTGTTAATTTAAGAAAAAAAAGTAGACAAAAAGAGTCACAGGAAGGAAATGTTCATTATCTGTAGCAGTATCTGTAATAGAGAAAATTTAGAAATCACAATGTCCAACAAAAGAAATACATAAATTATCACATATTAACTGATAGGACAAATATGTTACTATTTTTTAATTAAAAGATATTTAATAATGTAGGAAAATACTTATTACCATATTAAATAAAAAAGAATTTTACAATTTCTGATTTTAGTCATATATGTTATAAAGACTGTGAACAGTAAAAAATCAGTTTTGTTAGTATGGCAACATAAGAGATGCTGTTTTTTTGTATAAATCTGTTTAATACTAATATTTACTAATTAAAAAAGAACATAGTATATTTTCACTTAAATTTGGAGGACAAATTTCAAAATGAATGACTCACCTTGTATTTAATTGCTTCTTTATAATTTCTAAATTTACTGGTGGAAATGAAATGGATGTATCAAACTTCTTCACTGCTTGAGATCCACTGCTATGAGAAAGGTCTATGACTCTTCCCTAAAATAATATGAAAATTAATTTTTTAAAAGAGCCGAACGTTTCATTTTCCATACAAAGGAGCCTGGATATTCTTAAGTCTACCAGCTCAAAAATTCTATGCATTTGTAATTTTTCATGGTCACAATAAAATGTTTCGAAAATCTTCAGTATCAAATTTTAGAATGTTAAATTCACAGGTAAGAGGCAATTTTAAATACGTGATTTCTCATAAAGTTTAGTTCCTGAAGTTTTCAAAACTAATTTTGTTTCTGGTCTAACATACTCTCAGGACACCAGTGAATAAAGCCAGGGTTATGTGGGTTTTCTGATACTTTCAGAGGAATGCATTCCTAACTAACACATCTTACAACATGGTCTACCTTCCATTAGTGTTCTCTGGCTTATCATAGCTCCTCACCACTTGCCTGGAATGTTCCCAGGGCTCCAAAGAACCTCTATTTCAGACCAAGACATATGAAGACATGCACCAGATACGTAATCAACTCATTGGTTTAACTATCTTTTTATATTTTCCATAAAGCAAAATCATTTCTGATCTCAAATTACACCAAAGCTCTCATCCGCCTCTAATTTTACCTGCACCTCTTCAACCACTCCTAATACTTTCAGCTTCAAATCACTTACATCATAAACATCTGTCAATGACCTATTTAAATATCACTTCTGTGGAGACCTTTCCAAATCTTGCCATTTACCCACACTCCTATAAAACTGACCACCCACTTGCTCCTTGTGCCACCTTAGGAGCTGCAGACTTGTGGTGTAGAATCTGTAAGAGTTTAGAGTAATTATTTTGTTTAGCTGTCTCTACTCCTAAAGACTGAACATCACTGTAAGTGGCTGCTGAAGTCAGTGGAAACCCCACAAAAGATTCAGTACTGCTCATGTGAATATTACCTTATATGGCAAAAGATGCAACTGATTTAGGGATTTTGAGAGTGGGAGCTTTTCCTGATTAATCAGGAAGGGCCTAAATGCAGTTGCATATGTCCTCATAAAAAGACAGGGAGAGGGACATGAAAGAACAAGGCAAGATAAAGAAGGAATAGAGAGATGTGGCCACAAACTAAAGAATGACAACAGAACCTAAAAGAAACAGATTCTCTTCTGGAGTTTCTGGAAGGAATGTAGATCTATCAATACCTTAATTTCAGACTTCTGTTCTCTAGAACTGTGAGAGAATAAACTGTCACAGTAAACCACAAAGTTTGTGGTAATTTGTTAGAACTGCCACAGGAAACTAATACACTGGCATATGATACATCTTGAATAAAGAAGTCAGTATATGCCCTTGCATTCATGACAAAATATACAAATCAAGTAAGTGAGAGATTCTATTTTTGCCAATTAAACTCATTACACATAAGCTGGCAAATTGTGGTTAAACATTCCCATACTGTTGGCATTATAAATTGAGCTAAATTTTCTTCATAAAGTGATAACAAAAATGTACTAAGTGACATGGACTTATTTATCTCTTTGATTAGTAATATCAGTCTTGGCTATTTTAAGGGTATAGTTCAAAACTATACTGCTGAACAAAAGAAAGAAGGGAAGCAGGAAAAAATAATAAAGTAATTACTGATTCTTAATTTGATAATAGGAAAAATTCCAATTGCAAATAACCTATAACATTCACCAAAAAGAAGAATGGCTAAGAAAATTACATCTCAACTATGTCAAGCAAAGAAATCTGAATTAAAAATTAGATGCAAAAAAGAATGAAATTTTCTCATTTGCAGGAATTTTGGATGAAACTGGAGATCATCAGATTAAGTGAGATAAGTCAAGTTCAAAAGGACAAATAGTACATGGTTTCTCCCATATACAGAATCTAGGTGTCAAAGGGAAAAAAGGTTATGAAAGTAGAAGTTTGAATATTTGGGAAGAAGGGAAGACTGACTGGAGGGAGGAGGAAGGGGACAAGAGAGGGTAATGACTGTATATGTACATTATATACATATTATATACATACATGAAAATATAAAAAAAACTCAAAAAAAGAAGGAAAAAAAGTTCTCCCTTATTGTAAAACCTCTGAGATCCTATCAGTTTTTCAAATAAATCTGTTTGTTTTTTTTTTGGTGACACTGGGATTTGAACTCAGTCAAATAAAATTAGAACTCAAAAAAAACTGAGAGGCATTAATAATTTGAAATGTGAATTAAATTATATCTTTGTGATCTTGATTCTCTAGAATAAGTAAGAAAACTGAACAGTTGAAAAAAATTCTATGTAGTCTGTGCTTCCCAAAGTGTGTGAAGATATCATAATAAATTCACAGGGCTATAGTGAGATATTTTGGGTTGCAGAGAGAAACACAGTAATACTCAACTTTCATTGAAGTACAAGCTCTAATTAGTTCACAGTTTTAACAGCAGAACTGCTATGTTCCTTCTGAGGAAATATTTGTGGAGCTGGTTTGGGGAGGATGCTATGATAAAAAGCAAGTACTATGTAGAAAATCAATACAGAAATGAGAGTATCAGCCTCCAATCTGATTCCAAGGTCTGAGAAGGCATGCAGTGCTCAACAAGTGTACACATCCCATCAGTAAGTAACTGTGGTTAGTTAAAAAGGAAATAAGATTTTTCTTCAATTTATTATATTGTTTTTTCCAAATGGCTGATAAGTTGTTAGGACATAGTCTTATTAAATTCTTTGGACTTAACTAATAAGTCGAATTGTTTGGTACTGCTTTTGGTTTAGGATTACCATGAATGAGAAGGTTTGAGAACCCTTGGTGTACACTGTGACATTAGTCTAGAAGCAAAACAAAACATAAAATCCAAAGGAATTATGCAAACGTGAGCAGGTAGACTGAGAACAGAGGCATGTTTCTTCTCAAAAGTATTTTTGTTTTTCTTTGTTTTTTGAGACAGGGTCTTCCTATGTGGCCCAGGCTGGTCTGGAATTTGCGATCCTCCTGCCTCAGCCTCCCCCAGTCTTGGCATTACAGTTACCAGTTATGCACCACTATGCCCTGTTAAAAGTTATTTTTTTAATGCTGTTGTTACACTGATTTTACCCAAAAGTGATGAAAAAAAAAACAGTCTATCAGAATTATAGGAGTAGTCTACTAAGTAATTTCTTTGGTCAGATAGTCCGAAATTACTACCACAGGCTTACCTTTGGTTTTTAGTTTTTTTTTTTTTTTTTTGGCAGCACTGGGGTTTGAACTGAGGGCCTTCATGCTTACAAAGCAGGCACTTTTACCACTTGAGCCACTCTGCCAACTCTTGGTTTTTAGTTTTAATAACATGGAGCTCTTAACAATATTTTCTTGTTTAAAAAGAAAAAAATCTCTCAAAGCATCCTTATTAAAAGGTTCAAATATAAAACTTTATTTCTATAGTATTGTACTGCTTGTAAGCAGTTTGACTTATTATAATCTTGAGCCTTACAGCCATTTATCCAGGTATTAGTATCATCATCATTCCCATTTTATTGATAAGAAAACTAAGACTTAAAGAAATTAAGAAATTCTCTCACAGTTGTATAAATATTTAAGCCCCCAACACTACTGCACATTGTTAGATATAAAAATGAACAAAATGGTTATTAATTCTTGACATCATGGAGCTTATATTCCAGCAGCAGACCCAGACTTCAAATCTAGGACTTTTATTCCCAAGTACAATTTTTTTCTTGGTTTTTTTTTTTTTTTTGTGATACTATTAGAGATTAAACCAGGGTTTTGCAAAGTGCTCTACCACTGACCTACATTCCCAGGTCTTTTTTTGTTGCTGTTGTTTTAAACTTCACTATTTGCTGAACTTTACTTTTTAAATACCTGTTGTTATATAAAATTACAGATAAGAAAATATATGGTACCATAAATTGGAAGGAATTTATAATGGAGTAGAAACAAACAAACAACATAATATACACAATATAATGGCTGAAAGGTGGACTTCCAAAAGCTATACCCTTGACTTAACACCTGGAATGTGTGACTATGTATGGCCTTATTTGGAAAAGGGCATTTGTGATTTCTGGAGACCTTCAGAGGAAGCACAGCCCTGCCAACTCCCTGATTTCTGGCTTTTCCACTGCTGTTGTAAGTACTAGGTTCCTGTGAATTTGTTAAAGTAGTTATAGGAAACCAATATATACAGTATAAAAAATGATTACCTCTATGCTTTTAACTGCTTTCCTCATTTGTTGCTGTTCCCAAATATCTTGATTTTCATCTTCCTGACTCTCTTCACTTATTTCTTCATTTCTGCTTGCTACAAAAAGAAAAAAAAAAGTTCACACATAAGCTTATTTTCCATTCCAACTGCAGCAGCCAGCATCTTTGGCGTTTATTTTATGCAGGTGCAGAGAACTTTATATGTTATTTATTCTTCTCTGTGGAAAAGGCACCATTATTGCCCTTATTTTAAAAATGGAGACTCACATACTGGAGAGTTAAATAATTTGTCTGAGGACTATGCTGAAGTTAGACTCAAATCCAGAGATCTGACTCCAGAATCTGCCCCCTTCTTACCAATCCCTCTCACCTGAAACAAGTTCAGGCCACATATGGAAAAGAATGAAATGTTTGGTTTTCCTTGTCAAAGATCTCTAATTCATACCTAATAATTCAAACATTTAAAAGTAATTTCTGGGTTATAAGGAAGTAAGTGTCATTCTGAAAAAAAACATTATCTGAAATAACCAAAACCTTTAAGTTACAATACATGTATGTAACAAAAAACTTATGTTATAAATGAGAAATGCAAGCAGTCCTTGAGACTTGAGTATTATTACTTCTTCATTATAGAAGAGAAGATTTTAATATATATGACACTTAAAATCTCTGTAGAATCTTCCATCTTTAAAAAAAAAACTTTACGAAAAGTGACAGTGATAATTTCCAATGTTTCAAAAATAGGACACGGCAAATTTTTTTTTAATCTGACAAAAATCAAGTTGAGGGAGGGGGCAGGAATGATGGCACATGCCACAATCTCAGTACTCAACAACTGCGAGTTAAAAGCCAGCCTCATCTACAAAGCAAGACCCTGTCTCAAAAAACCAAAAAATAGCAAAAACAACAATCAAGAATGTTGAGGGGGGGCAGACATTATTAAACATTAGTATGCATATTCTTTAATGAAAACATCATGACACAGACATATCTTTTAGAGGCTATGAAATAATGGACCAAACTGACAACAAATAGAAAACAAACATCAATACTGTTTTCAATGTGAGACATTGTTATGGAAATTTTCATGATATATTCTAATGAAAAATGCTTTAATCTTCACATACTGCTAAATAAATTAAGTATATAGTACCTGTTTCTTCAGCTATTCTCTGTCTAAGTGTTTGAGGCTTTGGGGCAAACGGTATTCTCTTTTCATAGTCATCAGAATCACCCTCAGCATCTTCATCACTGCTGCCCTTCCTATCGGTGGTGGTGGATGTATGTTTTACATCCAAGGCAATATAGTCATCTTGGGCCCTGACCAATTCACGTTTTCTGCAGACTGCTTGAACAAAAGCTGCATCAGGGATCTTAACTGAAAGAAACAAAGAGAATGACAATGAAAACCAAGCAGCAGCAGAAATGCATGTTCCTTACAAAGAAAAAAGACACTATGTTCTAAATTTTTCACTATTTGAATATATGCATGTGACTGTAATAAAGCCATATTAATTTAATAGAAATAAGATGCAGTTTAAAGAAATGAACCAAATCAAGAAGTTCAAGGAAATATGCTGAAACCACTCTGTCGAGGGTTATCTCTCACTTCTGGAAGCTCGAGTGATAGGATACAAAAGTGGAGAATGCCAAGCATGGAGTTCTTCAGTCAGTGAGAACTACAGAAGTTAGAAGAATTAATGACAGACTAGTCTGACCCACCAAGTAAAAGAGAGACTGCACTCTGATACACACCTTCCCCGCAGACACCCATACACACAGGGAGCAAGAAGTGCCAGACTGTATGGCTCTGTAATTAATCCCTCATGAATAAATGCGAGAAGCTAAAAAGTATAAAGAAAATAAATAACTTTAACTGGCTAAACGAATCTGATTAAATGACAACATTTAATACAGCCTTGTTTTTTATTTATATAACACAAACTTCATGAGTTCTGTCAACTTAAAACAAGTTTCTTCATGCATGATCTAAGCTGAAACTGATCTTCACACACTCTAGAAGAAAATGTTTCTTAAGTAAGGTGCAGTGTTTCATATTTAATCATAGCATTGGGAGGCTGAGGCAGGAGTATTGTGAGTTCAAGGCTGTATCCTGGCTCAGACACACATGTACAACATCAAACCAAAAAAAAAAAAAAAAAGCCCCACAGTAAATAAAATAGCAAGGGAAATTCTTACAATTTCAAGCACTTGAAAATAAGTAAAGAGATACTAAGCTACTGAAGCTCAAGTAAATTTTTTAATCTTTCCCACAAATTGACCTACAATTCTTTGAGAAATGAAGAGAAAACTTGTCATGTGCTTGGAGATGTACAATGCTCCAATGTTTGAAACAACAAAAATAAAAAGAGGTAATATTTCACAAATTACAAGTTATAGACTGGCCTGTAATTACAGACCTACTGCCATCAGTCCTAGGGAAAATAAAAAGTGCTTGAGCAGAATACGAAACAACACATGGTGATCACTAGAAACCAAAACATACTGGTTTAAAATTGAGTAGCAGGGGAATGATAAAAGTCAGGTATGTCTCTATCCTACCAAACGATTTAACAGATTCTTTCCTTATGGATAATATTAAAATATGTAGGATAAATCAAACAGTTTAACTAAATTCTTAACTAAATAAATAACTACTAAAAAATGCTGGTTATGAAGCAAAGCAGGGATCTGCCAAAGAATCTGGTTGAATGGTTTTATCGTGACATGAAATAAAACAAGATGACAAGTCTAAAGTTGAGAGGTATAGCAAGCTATATTAGCAATTCTCAACCCTGGCCACACATTAGCATCATCTGGGAAGCTTGAGAAACTACTGGTGCCTAGGATCCCACCCTACTGAGTCAGATTTAATTGATCTGAGGTAGAGCTGAGTTTGTTTTTATAACCTCTTGGAGGACTGTAATGTGAAGGTTAAGATAATACCTTGAGGTTCAAATACTGCATTGTATGAATATGAAAACAGAAATATGTGAATTAGAAATGATTCAGCTACAATGTCTTGGTGAGGTTTAAATACTGAGTCACAAGCAGTGATGGAATTCACTGGTGCTACATAAGCAAAGCCAAGTCAATTCTCTCTAAAGCTACAATAAAGAAGTAAAAGTTGAAGGATGAAAAGAATGTTCTCTCCATCCTATTTCTCCATGTCCAACACCTAGCTCAACAGCTTCCACACGCAAGAAACCAGGCAGACACTGAATGAATAAATAAAACCAACATCACGTTTTCAGAGACAACTCCTAAGTTCTGTGTCATTCTATCTGACACACAACCATCTAAAATGCAGGGGTCACCTTTGGCCTCTCTTTCTTTCTTCCTTTTTCTCTCTTCATTTTGTTCTCTTTTTCTCCCTCCCTTCTTCTCTCTCCCTCCCTCTCTCTCTTTTTCTCCTTTGGTTCTCCCCCAGCCCCTCAGTTGGCCTTGAACTTGCAATCCTCCTGTCTCTGCCACCCAAGTGGCTGGGATTACAGATGTGAAGAACCATACCTGGCCCCTCTATCCTTTCTTCTCTTGAGACTACATCAGTTTTCTCAGTGGGGCATTTGTGGGAGGAACAACTCTACTATGCTGGATTGTCTGCACTCTGCAGAACTTCCATATATACACTGGCATCAATATCACTCTGATTGTTAAAAACTACTCCACACATTTCCAAACACTGTCCTCTCTTTATGTGGGCAGTGATGCTGATACTTTATAACCACTCCCTTACCCTGTTCAATCCATCACCTGCTATAGCAGCATTGTAGCTACTTGTGGATACATAAATTTAAATTAAAACCATAATTCCTTAATTACACTAGCCACATTTTAAGAGCTCAACAGCCATTTTTCACCAGATCAGATGGTGAAAATAGAGAATTTTTTTTCCATCATAACAGAAAATTCTATTGGACTGTGCTGTATCTAGAATCTATACAGGCTTCAATTATTTACCAGGTTAAATTCTTAATATTGTTTTTAGTACTTACTGTTTTTGTTCCTGTGAACTTGGATAAGGAAAAAAAAAGGTTACAAGTATACAGACCTCCTGGTTGTTATTATTTATTAGGTTAATAAAGAAGAATACTGGTCTGGAAAAAAATGGTGGCTAAGGTAGGGAATCAGAACTCCTAAGCTCTGTGACACCAGAAACCTCCTTGAGACACTGGAGCTACACTTGGGTAATTCTGATTGCTCCTAGCCAAAATAATAACTGCCATTGCATTAGGTGCAGATAAAATTCAAGATCAACCCTTAAACCAGCCTTTAATTGCACCCAACAGCTGCGAATCCTGCCTGGCACAGCCGGCAAGGCGGGTCTGGCCTCTGGCCCTGGGAAAAAAGCCCCAGGCCACTTCTCTATTTGTTTTTTTCCCAACAAGAAGACAAAGCATCAAATCAATCACAATGAAACTCTGCGACATCCTGGACCCCCAGCCCATGAAAAGCCTCTCTAAGCTGCGCTGCCATTTCTCTCCACCAGCTGGCTCCAAAGCTGCCTGCATGAAACTGCAGAAGGAACAGGTGAGCATCATGCACCACGCATGATTCCCCTACCAACCTCCTCTCCACAGGAAAATAATCCAGCTCAGTCCCTGGGCAGACTGAACCCCCTCCCAGCAAAACTGAAAAACATAAACAGCGAAATGTAATCTAACACTGACAGCTGAGGTGGGGGTGGAATGCTGAACCTGCCCTGGAGAACAGGGTTGGGTCAAGGAGCCGAATTCTCAGCACTAAACTCTAAGTGATGTGCGTGTAAAGCAGCAAAGGCTGAGAGCGGGGGCAGGACAACAAGCCAACCTCCCAAAGGAGCCCCCATCAACCAGTAGAGCTCAGGAGTGGCATAAAGGCTGAGTGAGGGAGTGGGGGTGACAAATCAACCTCCCAGAGGAGCTGCCAGCACTCAGTAGAGATCAGGAGAATGGGTCAACAGGCCAACCTCCCAAAGCAGGGCAAGTTCTCTGCAACAGAGGGCAGCATTCAAAACTCAACTGCCCCACGGCAATTCCTGGTGGAGGAGCTGACCAAATAGAGCTGTAGCTGAATGGCAACACAGCTGCCACCTGGTGAAAAACAACAGCTCTGACCACGCTGACTGAGCTGGCAGTCTTACATCACCTCACAATTCCAACTAATTTTGTGGACTAAATATTACACAAAAGCCAGTCACCTGGTGAGAACACATCAGAGCTTCTGTTTGTATGCCAACACCAGGATTGGATACCTAAGGAATAACTGCAGAACTTTTACAACCGACTGAACCTTTTGTGGTACCTGAACCTAGTGTTTTTTATTGTGTTTCTTTTCTTTTCTTTTTTATTCCTATATTATTAACTTCATCATCACTATTCTCTATCCTCTTCACACTATTCTTACCCTCTTCACTTTCCCTCCTTTTCATGTACTAAAATCCATTGTTCTCCCTCTCAACTACTCTTTCTGCCCCTTCTCATCCACTCTTTCCCCTATCTTCACCTCCCCCTTATCCTCCTACAACCTGTCACACCACCTTTCCCTACTTCACACTCACCACCTGCTGACTAGCCTACTGTACCAATTGTATACAACTCCAGCCCCCTGCAATCCTTGACACAAACACCCTCTACTACAACAACAGAAATACACCCAAACACACATAAGGGCCACAAAACCCAATAGCTCCATACTTCTTCACCCACCCACATATCCCTTTTCCTGCCCTCCCCCTTTTAGTGCAACCTTTACAATTCCTCCAAATCTATAGCCTAAAAGCATTTCCCCCCACCCCAAACTCTGACTGTTTTAGATATTATCATCAAGGGGTTTTCTATATAATAAGTAAACAACTGGTCTGGCATTGAACCAGTAATTTGTTATTGCTAAATTACACCTCCAGGCCAGGGACAGAAAGAACACATCAATCTAGCTAACAACCAAGTCAGTCACAATGCAAAAATTAAATCAAGGGAAAGAAATCAGGTAATCAAATCCACCAACTAGCCTACCAAAACACAGTTGCACAGCACCAAGTGGAGCAATGGGAAGAAGAAGGAGGGATGGAAACTGCTCTTCTCAAAAAAAAAAAAAAATTTCAATACAGGATTCAGTGGGAAATGAAGAAAATGGACACCCAGTTCCTGACCTCAGCAAAACAATGATAAATGTTATTAAGGAGCCCAGTGACACCCACATAAAAGCCCTCAAATTGGAAATTGTCGAAGAAATCTATGAGAAATTCATGGAAAAGATACTAGACATGGTTAACCATAATGCACAAGATGCACTCAAGAAATTTCAAGATACCAAAAACAAAAAAAAATGAGAAAACTCAGAAACAAAAAAAGGAACTCAGACAGGACTTCAAACAAAGGACACCATAAAAAGAAAGAA